TCTACTTATCAACAGGCATAACATTTCAAACAAGATGAATAAACTCTAGAGATCTACTGTACAACATTGTACCTATGGACAGCACTAGTGTATTGTACTCTTAAGAATTCAGTAAAAGTGTTATCTTATGTTCAATGTTCCTATCATAATAAAATAAACATTAAAAAATTCAGTTAATATCTGCAAGGGACTACCAGATGTCATCATTTTATAAATACTATATGGGCCAGTTGCTTTCTACAAATATACTATTTATCTGACTACTAGACAAATCCCTTCCCAAGTCCCACACTCTACTATGGTGATTTTTTTCTCATCTTTCTAGTCTCTGTTTAAACAAGTCTTGTTCTGAATTGTCTATGTAAAGTTTACTTTTAGAGCACCCAAACTTTTATATACTTGGAATGAGAGTATCTGAAATCTTAGATCTCCATTCCCTAACAGAAAAGAGGAATCTGTTTTTGCTAAGAGCTCATTAATAGGTCTCAGTAAAGATCTACTATTAAAAAGTGAAGAGGAAAGATGGCAACCAGGCTCACAAATTAATAAAAGGGCAGTGAAAATGAGACTCAAGCACAAAATGAAGTGTGGGGAAAAAAAGTTATGAAACGAAGTGTCATAAGGTCTGGAGGAAAGCCCACAGAAGAATCTGAGACAGGACTCTACCTACAAGAGCGTGGTATATGGAACTAACTAGGACAGTTTGTTCATTCTTCTAATGGCATACAAATCCCCATCAACTCTCTATAAGTTCTTGAGGACCTTGTGGTCCTCAAGAGAATTGCTCAGTGATTGTATTTTGCTTTTACTTTGAAAAAATATATATTTTTCTGAACCACACCATCCAGCACATGACATAATCATGAAACAGCAGAACATGCTTCTCGGTATTTGAAAACACTTTCATGAAAGAAAAAAGGATTCAACAATATTTAATCACTGATTGGCTTCATGAAAGTATTATAAAAAATCTGGAGTCTAATAGAGGTTATCATATCTGACAAATGCAGCAAATACCACTACTGTGCTGTAAATACTTTTAAAATACAATAGCTTCTGTTTGCAATAGAAATATTCCTCATGTCTTTTCTACAAAACATTTCTAATTAGATTAATCCTAGGATAATATTTAAAATCTCATGTATTCTCTAGGTACACATTGACTAAACAAATGAGGTAGATATAACTGCAGAAAGATGTTCTAGGATTCAAATTTGTATTACAGAATAGTCCATACATTGATTATTCAAGTTAAAAGTATAGAGGTGTTATTAGGATAATAGATAGATTAGGATAATAGATTTTGAAATTAGACATTATGTTATATATATATATATATACACACACACACACACACACACACACACACACACACACACACACATATACACATTTGGTTTTCATCTATGGTTCCTAGCTCATGTCTCCCTCCCCAAGGCATACCATAGAAGTTAGTATTCCTCTTTCCTAAGGGGGGGTCATAGAAACTTAACTCTAACTCTTCCTGTCTTGGAACTGGCCATAAAGAAATTCTCTGACCTATCTTATCTAATAGTAGATAGTAAGACCCCTATTTTAGAAGGAATCCTGCCCCTACCCAGGAGGAAGGAATGCTGCACAAAGGTCAAGAAGAACCTAAACAGCAAGGCCTTGYTGGGTTTCCCCACTCTATTAATATYAGATCACATCTCCTTTGTCCTATCACATTTCAAAATGGTTGTCCACGCTTAAATCACAACTACGCAATGATGTCTCTGCAATGAAAACTCAGGACAGAGTTCAGAGAGCCCCTGGATAGCCAAACACATGCAAGTTTCTGAACAGTAGCACATCTGGGGAGTGCGTGGAAGCTCCACAGCCCCTTCCTCCATAACTCCATGCATTTCTTTAGCTGTGTCCTTTGTAATATCCCTCATAATAAATCAATAAACATAAGTAAATATTTCCCTGAGTTTTTTGTGCTATACAAGCAAATTAATTGAACCCAAGAAGGTTGTAGGAATCCTGATTTGTTGCCAACTGGTCAGAAGCAGAAGTAAATGAAACTGAGGCTTGCAACTGGCATCTCAAGTGTGGGAGGGGTAATCATTTAACCAGTGGGATCTGAAGCTATCTCTAGCTAGACAGTGAAAGAATTGAATAGGAAGACACCCATTGATATCTGCTACACAACTGATCTCCACACCTCTTATTTTTCCCATACAACTTTGCATTAAGCAAATATTAAAATATACCTGTCTTTTACCTTTTCCCATCAGACCTTGTGAAACGGTAATTTAGAAAGAAACTCAACCAGAAAGAGAGAATTTAATTATAAGAACACCTAAGACCTTTTAAGGGCATTTTAACAGCAGGATATAGGCTTGCCTAAGCTTTTGCAGAATGAGCAGCCAGACTATAATTTAGATTTCACAACTTTATGCCTCAGTGAAAAGAATCCTATATAGCTGTTTCAAGAAAACATTGCTAATTAGGAAACACTTTCTCATAAATGTGTCAACCATTCTGCATAATCATTATTTCATAAAAACTGGTGTTTGGGTAGTTTAACTGTTTTTCTGGCTTAGGAATTTTGGTCTCATTTTTTTATGTTTACTATGTCAGGCTTTGAAGGTAGATCTTAAGTAACATACTCAATGTTAAGCAATGGAGACAAATTCACACTCAGATCTAATTCCATTACCTACACTGCAATTCTATCCTGCCTCACAGTTTTACTTAAACTATGTACTCATTAAAAAAGTTAAATGATGTGKCACAGCTCCAACAGGATGCAGAAATTGGGTACTAGTTGCCAACACAATAAAATGCTGCTTCTGACATTTATTTTTTTAAGATTGGTTAAACATGTCCATCCTTCAGTTGAATAAACAATCTGGAGGCTGGTTGTAATCTTGAGAAGACTCTTGCCAAAGCATATTTTGTGAGCTAAAGCAGGGTAGTTCAGAGCATAGACTATGGCGCTGAAATGARACAATTCTCTACCACTTGCTGTGTGCCTTTGGACACATGCCCTCACTTATCTTTGGTTCCTGTGTAAATTAGGACTCATTTGTAATAACTGTAGTGACACATTTGGCACCTGTGACCATTAAGTGAGTTGAATACATTTAAGCATTCAACTAACACATAAGCAAAGAATGTTGTACAATATTCAAATCCAAAGGCTATTATTTAGCCCTTGCCTATCTTTTTAAAAGTATACTTCATTTTTTTAAAGAGTAGTTTTAAGTTCATAGCAAAATTGAATACATTCTTGGTAATACCTATTTTTATGGATTTTGATAAATGGATACTGTCATACATCTATTATCATAGTTCCCTATAGAATAGCTTTTGCTGTCCTAAAAATCTWGTGCTCTGACAGTCCCTGCTCTAACCCCTGGTAACCACTAATCTTACTGTCTCCATAGCTTTGCCCTTTCCAGAATGCCATAAAGTTATAATCATATAGTACATAGTTTTTTCCACTTGCCTTCTTTCACTTGGTAATATGCAGTTGAATTTTCTACATGTCTTTCATGGCTGGACAGCTCATTTCTTTTAACTGTTGAATAATGTTCCATTATCTGGGATATACCACAGTTTATCTATTCACTTACTGAAGGACATCTTGCCTGCTTACAAGTTTTGGCAATCATGAATAAAGCTGCTGTAAGCATAGCACACAAGTTTTTGTGTGGACTCAAGTTTTCAACTTATTTGTGTCAATAACAAGGAGCCACTGCAGTTCCATACCATAATAATGTTTAAATTTGTAAAAAAAAAAAAAATGCTAAATGCCTTCTAAAGTAGCTGTACCAATTTGCATTTACATCAGTAGTGAATCAGTTTGTTTTCTCACAACCTTTCCAGTATTTGTTGTTGTCAATATTTTGGCTTTTAACCATCCTTACAGGCATGTGCCGTTATCTCAATAGTTTACATCCTTATTAGTTTTTGTAAAATACATTTGCTAGAAAGTTACCCCCAAAGAATGTCACAGTAATACTAACTACTGATGCTGAAAACCTAAGCAAAAATGTTTATTTTTCTAAATTCATTTCATTGTGGTTTGCTTATTTTTTCCCCAAAGTTTCTTTGATGAAGTAGTGTCACAGTCTTCCAACTACTCTTCCTATACAAAGGAAATCCGGATTGCACAAACAATTGAAACTGCTAAAATGATACAGAAAAAGAAGTCACTAATTATTTACTTAAAACTGATATTGACTACAATCTCACACAAAGTAGTGTCAATCTACCATAGTTGTTGGATATAAGAATATTAGTCGTCTTTTAAAAATTTCTTTCATTCCAGTAAAGAAATCAGAGTGTAACTAGTTTCAAAAACAAGTAAAATGTGATTAAAATTAAAATTGTAATACGCATCAGACTTAGGGCATTATAACMCTTTAAAAACTAAAGATTCTGAAAAATTGGTCTGGGGGCGGGATCTGAGTATAGGTCGTCTCTAAAAGCTCCTTAAGTAATCGAAGAGTGACCAATGTTCAAAACCTGTACTAAACTTTAAAGGGGCGGTGCACAACACAGTAGCTTCTTCCTAGTATAAAACAGCGAGATCACAGTCTCCAAGAACTGCATCAACCGCCCAAGCAGATAACACATTTTAAACACTTTAGCAAGGCTGACCAAGAAAACCGAGTGTGTTTTCTTCCGTACTTCAATCCGCTCCACGTAGAGGCTCCCAAGGCTCCGATGCTCGCCGAACTAAGAAACTCGTGCCGCAGAGCCTAAGTATCTCCAGGGCCAGAAACCACGGTTGCGCCAAGCTTTCCTAGCCTAAAGAGAGAAGACGAAGGGCCAACAACCGAGACCCCACCGACCCGCACAGAAACAATCCCAAATAACCTGGAGTCTTTTTTCGCGCTCTGATTTAGCAGGAAGTGACGCTAGCTCCTGGAGCGCGGGGCCGCCCCGCAGGAGAGGAGGGCGGGAGGGGGAGGGTTTGGGAGACTGGGGGCGGGGCGCGGCCGCAGCTCCGTTTCCGGTGGCTCGTTGCGTTCGCTCACTCCAGCTGCAGCCACTCTCGCCCGTGGCTGCTTCCTCCATCCTGGTATTTTTTGGAGCCTCCATCCTGGTTCTTCCAAAGTGCCCGGACCCAAAACAGGAAGTAAGTGCGATGGAACCTTCAGGTCCCAACCGCCGCCAGGGCCGCTCCGCCCAGTGGAGCCTGTCCGGCCCCCTGGCTACCCGCTAGCTCTCACAGACCAGCGCAAGCTGCCGGCGCTTGGGCACAGCGGGCGGGGTCAGAGCCTGGCCTTCGAGAAGCTGAAGCGGCCGTCCCCGCACGCTCAGGCCAGGGCCTCCTTCTCAGGGCTGGGCCGGCTGTGGTGGCTCGAGCTGCAGAATAGAGGAGCGAGCGGCCGCCGCGGCACCACAGCGATCCGGCGGGGGCGGAAAATGGCGGCGGCTTCGGAAGAGCTAAATGGCGCCGGGACCCCTGGGGGTGGGGTGGGCCGGGAGCTTTGGTAGAGAATTGGGCCAGGGAGTGGGGCCAGTAAGGAAACACTACTTGTTTTCTCGTGGTGTTCCTTTTTTGGTATTATTTTTTGTTACTGTTTCTAGTTTTGTTGTGTAGTCCCGCGAAGGAGAGGTGGGCTTGGGTGGGGTTGAGTGGGGGCGGGTCTTGCCCCAACCCCCCAACCCCTTTTTTTCCTTAACCTTATTTGCGTCGTAGACTCTTTCCTCATCTTTTTTTTTTTGTGTTCAGTCTTTCTCAGCGATTCACGGCCCAAGCAAAAAGCATCGGGGTGGCCGGCCAAACCATTTCTGTCAGTTCGAGAGTGTCTTTGGAGGAGGAGGGACCTGGGCTGGGTGTGGGGAGTGTCCTAACCGAGCCTAGAAAATGCGTCTGCAAGGGAGTAACTGTAGAGTGCGGAGTTCCGAGGAAGCTTAAAATTTTGTTTAAAAAAWWTTTTTTTTGTCCCCCGAAATGGACTTTGTTTTGAGAATCTCTTCGGGGACATATGTAGAGTATTTTAGCCTAGTCTCGGGTAGATTTGAGAGAAGTGTCTAAGTGCCGTTCTATGCAGTTGAATGATTCAACATATGTTTTTATAATAAAAATATTCGGTGAGGATAAAGATAACGGTGATAATTCTATGAAATGTGTCCATCAGAACTACTCCCTTTTTCTGATTGAATTTGTTTGTTTGCCTTTCTCGTGTCTTGATTCATCTTTGTGTACCTCCTTTCTGGCTGACTGTCGGCGACGCTGCTCGTTGGGACATCTGAAAAAAATTCATGTCCTGGACTAGTACTTTCTAATGTCTTAATCTTAAAATGTCGCTATGGACTTTTTAAATTAATTACACCTATATTTTAATTTGTGTACAGCAACCATTTGTAGCTTTTTTTAAAAAGTAATTTTTAGTTGTTGATGACGTTTATTAATTAATTATTATGTGGTGCTGAGAATCGAACCCAGTGCCTCACAAATACTAAGCAAGTGTTCTACCGCTGAGCTACAACCCCAGCCCCCCATTTGTACCTTTTAAGCGCTAGTTCAAGAAAGAAAAAACTATGTCGACGTTTTCACAAACGGAAAATCCATTTTTCTTTCTCAGTTGCGGATTTTCATATTTTTCTATTCACATTTTTTAAGCTAGTTTAAATTTACTTCAAATAACTTTTTGAAGATTTTTGCATCTTGCTTTTTTAAGATAATTTGAGTAATTTACCACTCACTATGTTAACGTTTAAAGATTCCRGCTGTGGGACTGGGGATGTAGCTCAGAAGTGAAGTGCAGTCTCCAGCACTGCAAAAAAGAAAAAAAGGACTCCAAAAACAAAWAGGTTAAAATTACATTCCTTTATGTATCATGCTGAGAAATACCAGTCTGGTGAGAGAATAAAGAATAAACATCTTTCCATTCACAAAGTACAAAAAACAGTTTGATCCTATCTGGGGAAAAAATACAAGTTATGAAGAACAGAACGTTATATGATTTGTGATGGTTTTATCTCTAATTTTAACTTATTAGTATCAGGTTCTTCTGTGTGCTACCAAACAACGTAATTTTTATTTCACTACATCAGTTGATAGGCTCACCTCCAAAATGCTTTTGGAATCTATCTATTCTGCATGCATCTCTTTAATAGATTACAGTTGATTTAGATGGTGGAGCCAAAATACAGTGGCCCTTTCTTTGTCAACATTTAATGAGTAAGTACTGGGCATTCCTACTTCTAGCAGTTACAGGAATAAGTATTCTATTGTGTATACATATTCATGCTATATTAACATTTTCTTTGGGTGTTAAGGCTTTAGAAGTTTTGAAGGAAAGAAATTGTAGTTTTGGATTTAGGAGTTGAGCTTTGAAAATAGAGCACGGCTGGGAAATGGTTGCTGAAAGAAATATTTAAAGTAGGTGCAGGACCATAATCCTAGTGGTTCAGGATGCTGAGGCATGAGGATTGGGAGTTCAAAGCCAGCCTCAGCAATTTAGCTAGACCCTTTTTTAAAATATAAAAAGGGATGGGGATGCAGCTCAGTAATTAAGTGTCCCTGAATTCAATCACTAGAACCAAAAAAAAGTAGGTATGTATGCTCTTTAGTGTTGTAACACCCCCAATTTTTTTTAGGTACTGTTGTGTTTTTGTTTTTTTTTTTTTCCAGCTAGACAAAGTTTATCTCATTCCACCTCAAAGGTGCTTTTAAAAGGGAGAGAGATTCCTGTATTTATAAAGTTAGGTAGTCATTAAATTAACAACAAACTTCCCTTATCTACCCCCCACATAATGCTTATCTTTCTATTAGACTCACTTATCTCCCCCATTGACTATAGACCCTACTGTTTATTGACAGTTTAATAAATTTATATGTCCTGAAAATAACATCTCTTTATTTTGAACAGTTGCTTTTGTCATACTCCATTAAGTACATTAGTTTAAAATTAACATCTGTGAGGATGAATAGAAGAAACAAGTGTCCCTAAGAACTTACAGCCTGGCACATAAATGTTAAAATATTGAGGGAGATTAGCAGTGTTTTTTGAAGTGTGGAGGACCTAGATCACTAGTATTCAACACACATCTCTCTGTTGCAAAAACATAGAAACTTTAGAACAGCAACAAAATTTAGGAAGGATTCATTCCACTTATTTATATCATATAGAGGCTGCCTATTAATACAGAGTTGTACTATATACTGCCTTCTCAAAATGAAGTTGTTCCTTTTTAATGCTCCATTTTTTTCTTATCACTATAATTTTCAGCACTGTGTTCTGTATAAAAAAAGATTCCCTGGTAATTGGTACATTTAAGTGTTTTGTAATTTAAACTCCAAAAACTTTTTCTACCTCTTGAATGATATAATAGGAAAAAGTGTTCAACCTACTGCCAAGGGTTACTTGGAAAATACAGATAGTTATAAGATGTATGTACATTTGTTTTCTTTCATGTCATTTCTTTGTTTTGAAGGTGTTTTTGTGAAGAGTAGTTATGACTCCCTAGAAGTAAATGATGATAAAGTTTAAATAAAAGGACAAATCTATTTTTCATGTTTTTTCAAGTTTGTGGAAAGATAGCCTATTCTGTGTGTGAAAAACAGAAAGGAGTTGTCAGGAAAAAGCACACTGGAGAACTCTTGATGACCAGTTTTGTTTTTCTTACTGTCATATTTTAAAATGTCATTTGATTATGTACACTGTTGTCAGGTCATTCTTCCAAGCACCAGTAGTGAAAACTAATTATTCACTTACTATCCATTGTTATGTAACAAAAGAAATGGATTTTTGTTTTGTTTTAATTGCCTATGTGTATTTTTGTAAGGAAGTATGCTTTTTAAATTAACTTATATAAATCAGGGGTATGTGGTGATAATTTGTGGTTCCCATTAAAGAGCTTCTGATGGTAACCTGTATAAAAAGTGCTCAGTTTTGAAAGGATGAAATCTTACAGTATAACCAAACACACACTGTAATCTCTTCAATTATGAGCTGGATGAAAAAGAAACTCTTTAATTAAAACAATTTTTCTGCCAAGCCTGGTATGAGTCTTATACCAAGATATGACCCATATTACCAAATAATTCCATTTATTTGAATAACAATGACATTTTTTTCAGTAGTTGATAATTGAATCAACATTTTAAGCGATTTAAATTTTATTAACAAGTCTATTGACACATTACTGTGTATTGTCATATTTTTATCTTCTTAAAACCCAAGCCTTGCTGGGCATGGAGGCTCACACTTGTAATCCCAGCAGCTTGGGAGACTGAGGCAGAAAGATTAAAAATTTGAGGCCACCCTGGGTGACTTGGCAAGATCCTGTCTCAAGATAAATTAAAAGGTCTGGGGATATAGCTCCATGAAAAAACACCCCTGGATTCAATACTCAGTGCCATAAAAATAAAACCAAACCATGCTGAACATTAGGTACCTTAATTTGTTATGCTTTCATTGATTTAAAAATCTTCTCAAACTTTCCCACAAGTATACAAAGGAACCAATTTTAGGGTTCAGCAATTATAGTCCAAGCATTCTGCCTTAGTAGAAGGTCCTGTTCCTGTTGGGGAATAAAACTGATGCTTAGGAAGATGTTATTTTTTGGCTTTGTCTGTTTTCTGACATCCCTCTATGTATTTTCAGGATGTAGGAATTCTTATGTTTTATCTGCCATGAAGATTTTTGTATTTAGTAAAGTTGTATTCTTTCAGAGTAAAAAAAAATTGTAAATGTATTTTCTTTGAATTGTTATATGTTACTATGCAAATCCTCAAATATTTCCTAAGGCATTACTTATATACAATAACAGATATGGTGTAATCATTATGGAATTTTTATAATAGCATAATCTCAAAAAACAAAAATGTTCATTAATATGTAATGGTTAGACAAATTTAGATGCTATGTATCTATTAAAAATGGGAGAATAAATATTAGTATTGAAAATTATTTTAAAAAATTATAAAAGATCTTGATATTTTAAGAACTAAAGTTGGTATATAGATAAAAGACTTGGAAGGCATTCAAAAAGAGAAATRTGGATAATTTTTTCTTATGCTACATTGGGTCAGGAAATGTGAAAACTAAATGTGTCTTTGAATTATGCCTTTTAGCCAATCTTTAAATTCATTCAATAAAGTTGTTATATAGTCTATGTTTTTCATGCCATATAGTTTTCATCTCACCTCCCATTTTAGAATCCGCTCTAGGCATTCAGGGTGTATAGTGGTGCCTCCCCTGCTTCTCATGATTTGATAGTACCTTACTTACTTACCTTACTTAGCCCCCAAAACTAGGAAGAAACATGATTTTTCCCTGTTTGGTTTTAAATTCTGTGTTAAATTAATAAATCCAGGAATGGTAACTTCTTTATGCATAGCCCTTTCTTTTTGTTCTACCAGGTTGTTTATATATTAATAGGGTCATCTTAATCCCCCTCCCCCACATTTTTTATTGGCATGTGATAATTGTGCATAATGGTGGGATTTGTTGTTACATATTCATACATGCACACAATATAACAATATAATTTGGCCAGTATCATTCCCCAGTATTTCCTCTGTGCCTCCCCCTGGTCTCTTTCCTCTCTTTTATGGTTCACCCCTGGATTCTTATGAAATCAGGGTCATCTTATCAGGAGCTATAAATACAAGCAACTGTATTTTCCTGTTGTGAAAATACATAAAAATTCCACTATAAATGTTTACTACACTTAAGGTGTTTATTTCTTGAATTTATTAGAGTATTGTTGCTGTTTAAAGATATTTACTAAATGATGGGAATATATTAAAATGTGAATTCACCAGTTAGAATAAAATGGCTGTTTAAATTTTTTTCATTATGTCTTCTCATTGCTAGTTAGCGTAAAAGTGGTACTTAAGGTATAGCCCTTTAAAACGGAAGAAGGGAACGCTAAAATATGTTGATGATGTTATATTTGTGTGTTCCAAAAAGTTTATGATAGAGTTGGAATTCTTCCTGGTATATACCCCTGATAAAACAAAGACTGGAAGGTTCCAGAATGTAAGCATAGTTCATGTATATTAAAAAAAAATTGAATAAAGGCACTAAATTATTCAACTTTTTACCTTACCATTATAAATTGATGTATCACCAACATTTCTCCATTTTAACATCATAACATTAATGGAAGAACTCTTCTAAATAACATTCTTGACCCCACTTGCTCCTTTCATCCTTTTCACCCTCAAAGGTAATGCAAATGAAAGAGGTCTTTCCAACTTTCCAATTTCTTAGTTTTCTAGTAGGCCTCTGCCCCTTCTATTTTACTGAAATTACTTTATTCATATTGCCAGATCATATAGTTATTTCTCTGTCATCTAATTCAATATAGTTGACTAATGTTCATTGAGAAAACATTCTCGTGCTTTTTAGTTCATCATTAGTTTTTTTCTTTGTGACTAGCTGGTGCTTCCCAGTCTACTTGTCTTCCTCTTGACTGTGAAATGTATATAATAGAGTGTTCTAGAGATGAGATCTAGGCCACCTCTAAATTCTTGGTAATCTGGAAGAGTAGTTTGTGGGCTGTGGATTTAGCTCAGTGGTAAAAGAGTGCTTGYCTAGCATGCATGGAGCCCTGGGTTCAGTCCCTAGAACCACATACACATATTAGTTAGCATGCCACTAACTCCAATTTATAGGTAAAATCCTGGTCTGCTGAGCTTAGTTTATATTACCAACTATCAATTTACGATTTTCTTTTGGATGCTTTGTATCTTTTTAAACAATAACACTGATATTAAAAAAATTTAATGTATAATAAAACATCTCTAGATTTAAGCGTCTCAAAAGTTATCCAAGTCAAAAGCCTGGGAATTATCTTGAGATAGCCCCTCTTTTCCTAGTCTCTGCCTTTTATTTAGAAAATTCTTTTGGCCCTTCCTTTGTATCCTCTGTTAAGCCCCTTCCCTTTGCTGCCACTTTTCTAAACCACACAGTTATCTCTTAGACAGTATATCTTTATAACATTGCCTTGTCCATTCTCCATACTGTGTCTCAGTGAAATTAAAAATGTTAAGTTTTTGTTATAATCATGAAATACCAAGGCAGACTTACTTTAAAAAGACATATAATTCAGTTTTGGAGGCCTGGTGCTGGCTCTGGTGAGGGTCCCATGGCAAGTGACAAAATCCTGTGGAGGAAGAACAAAAAAAAAGCCAGAGACTGAGGGGGTTGAGGTTGTAGAGCTTACTTCTTTAGCATGTGCAAGGTGCTGAATCCGATTCCCAGTACCACAAACAAAACAGGAGACTGAGTTCCCACTATCCCCGAGGGTTTGCTTCCAACTTACCTGAAGTTTTAACACTAGGCTTCACCTCTTTAAGGTTCCACACCATCTATGGCCCAGCTCCCAACACATGGATCTTGATTGAGAAACCACGTCTAAACCATAACAAGCAGTAATGACTTTGCACCTGTCAAATGAGTAGTTGTGTTTTGCTTTGAAGTTTTTACTATAATTTTTGGTGCTGGGAATCAAACCCAATGTCATGGGTCTGCTAGATGGGCACTCGACCACTGAGCTACCTCCCTAGCCCTGAAGTTTCTTTTTAAATAAAAATGGCACAGTTACCAAGAGTAGAGTTTAAACTGAACGTTAAGTTTGTACAACCTTTTTGGAAAATAGTTTGCTGTATCACTAAAAGTCTAAAATTTCATCATATCTATAGATTAGTTTTCAGTTACTAAGGCTATTTAAGTAAATTGTATTGAATGTTTTGGTTTGATTTAAGGAAATTAAATACAGGGAACAACATACATGTCCAATGATAGAGGATTTGTTAAATAATGTCATTTTTTATGCCCAAAGGTTTAAATGTTACACAAAAATTCCTGTGAAATGATTTCCTTAGCATTTTTTATTGTGAGTGAATGCTAAAGGAAGATATAAAATTGTAGTCTTTGCATATAAACCAGGAGATAAGAAGGAACCACAACAAAATGTGTAATTTTTGATTTTTTTTCATATGTGTATGTATGATTTTAAACTGCCCCTTTTTTAACCTTTTGTTCCTCTATCTTCTGTAATTGGTATTATTGACCAGCTTTTTAAAATAATTTAATGGATTCAGATATGAGAAGAATGTGGAATCTAATATCTGGAGTTCTAAAGAGCTCTAGCAGAGTCTATATCTTTTCACTGCAAATTTAGGTAAACAATTTTCTAATACAGCCATTCTGAAGAGAAGTTCTAATTAGAATGCTGAGAGAAATGGAAATTTTAATTCTTAATTTTTGTTGAAACAACCCCCATAAACCTCAGATCCTGTCTTTTTAATTAGTTGGCCTTTTCGGATGAAGATGAAAAACCTATTGAAAGAAACCTTTAAAAACTGATTATTTCAGATTGTATAATATTTTGTATTAAGAACTTAGTCGTAATTTACCTTTTCTGGTCTGATGGGGTTTTTCTCCACAAATTCCTAGATGTAGTTCACCTGTCTTCTTAAAATGGTTTATGAATGAAGATAGTTGTGTAGTTTTTAGTGCTTTAAAATAAAATCGTGGTATTATAAAGAATCCACCATAAAGAAAAATTATTGTTACTGGTAATATTTATGGTAATTAGTTGGTTGATATACACACCAGATGATGCCACAGTAACCACTAGCATAGCTAAACCTGTTTTTTCAGAGAATATTTAATTGCTTGATGAGAGACAGCTTGGGTTAAGAAACTCATCATTTYTGTCATTTCTTTATTGGAGAATACATTTTGAGGCTCATTGCCAAAGGTTCTACTTAAAAAAAGAATTTTGTTTTTGTCTTAACTTTTTTGGTTGAGACATCACAGAGACTTGAGGCTAGAGTATTTTAGCATACTGTTAGTGTTCAGTTATGAAGTCTCATTTTGTAATGCTGTTAATTTTTCAGTGTTGCAGAACATGGGGGAGAAACAATCTGGATAACATGAAAGTGATGCGGCTGGATAAGGGAAGGCAACTTGATTCTGTGGGAAGGGCTATAGCTGATCCAACCGTTGTTTAGGTAAGAATACCTTTGTTGCAAGGTCCTTCCCTCATGGTTTGCAAATTTTAGTCATATCTAGATCATGATTTCCATTCATCTTTGTTTTGAGAATGTCATCAATACAATTGTAAGATGAATAATGACTTTTTAAAGTAAAATTTCAATGAACCATTGGATTTTCACAGTGTAAATGTTATTTCCAGTGAAAGGAAAACACATTAACTTAAAATGGTAAATACCATATATGAATGGATTAATATCTTGTGTGTAAAAGTCAAAAAAGCAAATATTGAGTGACTGAGTACACATCAAGGCTTAAGTCTTTCTCAGTTGGCAGAAAGTATGTGGACAAGACCAAAGCTAAATATTGAGACAGGAGCTCCATTGAACAGTATAAAATGATTCTGAAGACTTGAACCAGACCATAGATTGTAATCCAATATATTGACCCCTACTAACCATGAGATTGTATTTCTAAGACTGATCTGAGAACAAGAATAAAATTAGAAAAGCCAATGATGGATATATTTACTTGTTTCATATTATGAAAAAGACAGCAAGAATTATTATTTAATGTTCCTATTTTTTAGATAAGAGAGCCTAAATACCTATAAGAAGTGTCTTGTTAACTAATTCGTAGATCAGAATAAAAGTTTTGATGAATTTTCTACTAAACAGTCAGAAGTTAATATGACAAGGTGCCAATAAAAACAACCTGCTGGGCACAGTGGCGCACACCTATAATCCCAGCAATTTAGCAAGACTATTAAAAAGAGTGGGGGGCAGGGGTGGTTGGAGATGTGGTTCAGTGATAAAGCACCCCTGGGCTCAGTCCACTAGGACCCAAAGAAACGAAACAGATTATTTCAAACAGATTCTCATTCRTTGGATATAGTAAAAACAACTCTTTTAAAAATACATGCTTTGTTTTCTAATTAAAACAGATTCTTGCAGATGATCTGATTCTAATTCATGAATATGAACTATTAATAGCAGTTTATGAAATCTGAATTTATAATTTCACATAAAGAACACTATAGGCAATACCCAAATAAACGTGGGATATTTGGTTGAGGGAGGGGTTACCACTTCATGTTTCTATCTGGAAATAATTTTTTAAATTCTAATGTGGAGTCTGTTCTTGTACAGATTTGAGTATGAGCACAGTTGAAGAGGATTCTGACACAGTAACAGTAGAAACTGTGAACTCTGTGACATTGACTCAGGACACAGAAGGGAACCTCATTCTTCATTGCCCTCAGAATGGTAGGAGAACTTGCTGAACATATACTTGTGACTCTTGGGATTTCTGAATTCCTTATCAGAAATACCCAGAYAGACAGTATAGCTTAGCAGGGTAGAAAAGGAGTTAATCTCTTTGGATCATGGCTTAATCTTAGTTCATATATTTTTAAAATTAAAGTAAATTTTATGTTTTTAAATTTACCGTAAATTTTAGACTTTATCAATCTCATAGTTATTTTATAAATGGGATCTATCAAATATCCAAAGATGATGATGGAATAACTATAAGACACTTCATATATATATATATATATATATACACACACACACACACACACACACACACACACACACACACACACACACCCACACACACCATTTGGTGCCAGCAGTAATTTATTTTGCATTTAAGTTCATCTTTTTTAATATGGATTCTGTTTTCTTCCTACTCTTTAAAATTCTTGGGTTACTTTATTCAAACTTGTGGTTTTTAACTAGCACAAACTCATTCAAATGATCTGTGCTTCCTATAGCCACCTTAAATTTCACACATCCCAAATAGTTCTTTCAGACACTTCCTAAACCTGCTTCTTTTTTTTCTTTTTTATTTAGTGTCCCAGGTCATAAATTACTTAGGAATAAATTCCTTCTCTCATTTCCCACATTCATTCCGTTATGAAGACTTGTTCATGCTATAATATTTTAAAAATCCATTTCTCTGTTTCAAGTCCCTCTTTCTTAGATCAAATACTTTTTTCTCATCTAAGTAACTCTAATAGCCTTTAACCAGTCTCCCACCTCTAATTCATCTTTCAAACTGCTCAAGAAATTGGTCATGATACTCAGTAGCTTAAGAYTAAACCTTCCAGTGTTTAGAATATAGTAAAATCCTTTAATTTAGCACTCAGGCCTTTCATCATGTTGTCTTTCTTACTGGCCTCACATCCTGCCACATGTCATACACTTATGTTTTAGTAGTTATAACTATTTTTGTTTCCATAGCATACCTCAGCACCATTGCACATATTGCTCCTACTGCCAGGAAGAATAATCATTTACCCTGCCTTGCTTTCAGATTTAAGATACTCTGTTAGGAATCCTTCCTTCACCTCTAGTCTAATCTCTTCTGTATTCTCAAAAAGCCTCTTCATTCCAACTTTATAGCTTTATTGTTACATTACTTTCTATATTATTTTGAAATTATTGGTTTAGTCATCTCCACTGCACTGCAAGTTCCCTGACAGGCAGGATATCCTTCATTGTTCTATTTGCATTTAGAACACAGTAGGCTTTTAGTAAATATTTGTGAATTAATCATATAACTTGCTTTTGTCTTTGTATATGAAATGTTTTGAAAGTCAAGTTGGTTTAAAAGGTGGCGTCTTTGTAGTTCCTAGACATAATACTTGTAACAGTACTACAGTAGGCATAGAGAAGATTATGTTATTTGAGGCCTGTTTGCATAGCTGGGTTTAAATAAGCTAATGGGTAAGAAAATCATTGTAGAATCACTACTAKCTGGAGATTTTGTTTTTTCTTTATTGGTTTGAAGTTTTTGAGATTTTTTTTTTTTTTTTTTGGTTTATTGTTCTTTTCCTTCCATTAGAAGCTGATGAAATAGACTCAGAAGATAGTACTGAACCTCCACATAAGAGACTTTGTTTGTCCTCTGAGGATGATCAGAGTATTGATGATTCTACTCCTTGCATATCAGTTGTTGCGCTCCCACGTAAGTCACTATATATTAAGAATGTAGAATTCCCTTTTGAAACCAAATTTTAGCTTTCAGGGGATTCAGTTGGCCTTTTTAAGTAGATATAGACTCTTTACTTAATGAGTGCTTACTATATGCCAGGTATAGTTATTAATGCTTTTAAATATTGCATAATATAGTCTTCTCAACTCTTTTAAATTCTCAACCTGTTGATCGACTCCATAAAGAGCCTTTTAGACATTTTTTTGTTGAGTACTCTCCCCCCATGTACTATATGAATATCTTTACTTTGTTCATAAATATTTTTTCAACTTACCCGGTAAGAACCATATTTACATGATTGGGAGAAAGCATGTTCTATAATAGGTGCTATTTTTATTAACATCCCCATTTTATAAATGAAGAAAATTAGACACAGAGAAGTCTAAAATAATATTCAGACATTGTGGTTCCTATAGTACATATTGTTAATCCCAATGTTATAGTGCCTTTTCCTTATGTGGAATTCAATAGATACCTAACTAGTTTATTTTCACTAAAAAAGTTCTTGTTCTTAACGTGTTTATATCTAAGATCATTTAAGGTAGACTAGATTCTAGAGGACATGTAGTATTTCAGGATTTGGTTATACATCTGATTTTTGAAGCAAAGAGTCTGGGATCCTATTGAAGAGTGGTTATCCTACAAAGCCAGATGTCTTAGTCCATGGTGATCAGAATGGAGCAAGTGGTTACTGGTGGCACTCTTAGCACAAAGGAGAGTTTTGCCATACCCAGGAACTCTTGACTTTGCACACAACACCAAGCAAGATGACATCTTCATCTAGTGAAATAAAACCAAGAGTAGATTTTTAGCATGAAAAATCATGTCTTAACAAATAGATATGAACTTTGTATTCAGAGTTAATTTTTTTTAGGCAGATTCTTTACCACTGAGCTATATGTACCCTAGCTCATTTGCTTGTTAAATTGAACAGAAAAGAAGCCATTTTGTTTCAATTGACTATCACATTTATTGAAAAATTAGTGTTAGTATTGCTTCCAAGTATGACATATACAAGCATCACATATTTCTAATTGTTCCTTCTAAAAATGATTCTTATGTTTTTTTTTTTTTCAGTTCTTTCAATTGGACTGTCATTATGTTGTTGATTAAATTCTATAAATTGCTTGGCCTATTTCCTAATGTATGTGGATATTTTCTACTAGAATTTTTTAGTTACTTTGGTATAAATTATGATTAATACATTTGGTTGAAATAGAATGCCTTGTTCATGATCATAGGTTCTGACTGGGCATTTTGTTCTCTTTTATGGTATTGAACTGAATTCTTCATACCCTTTTCCACTTAACCCAAGGTAATATGGATATACTAATACTAAAGACATGGGTTGTGTTTTGTATGTGTGTGTGTACTAGGATATTGAATCATAGCAATAGTACTTATGAAATAYAGTCTGGGGTAAAAGCATGAACTTCAGCCAGGTGCAGTGCTGCATGTCTAATCCCAGTGGCATAGGAGGCCGAGGCAGGAAGATCSTGAGTTCAAAGCCAGATTCAGCAACAATGGGGCACTAAACAACTCGGTGGAAATCCTGTCTCTAAATAAAATACAAAATAGAGCTGGGGATGTGGCTTGGTGGTCAAGTGCCTCTAAGTTCAATCCCCGGTACCCTCCACCCCACCTCACCCCCCAAAAAAATAAAAGGCATGAACTTTGTTCACTCACCTATCCTCATCAGTTTGACCTGCTAAGTCCCACAGGAACCATCAAGGTAACCCTGCTCACCTACCTATAGCTCTGGAAGCAGCTGGGCAACCCACTTACCCTGTGCCACTCTACCTACCAAGGCCTCCAGAAAGCAGCTAGGCATTTGGTCCTGAGAAGTTCAACCCATTAAGACCTTGGGAAACCTCCAGGTAGTCCTATATACCCACAATTCAGGAAGTAGGCAGCTAGTAGCCACCCTGAGCAAGCTAGCTCTCTGAGACCCTAAGAAGTACCTGAGCTTCCCCCAATACACTGATGGGTACACTGTCTGTAATGTATACCAGTCATCACCACTGTTAGTTATAGCTGCTATACTACTACACCTACCTGGAACCAAAGCCAAAGTAGCCTTCTCAACCAGTACCTTAGGACACATCTCCAGGAGAAATTTTTCTACTACAGAAACCACCTATGAAATGTGTAGAGGCAAATGATCTGACAGATGTGCAAACATAGGAACACAAGAAACATGAAAAAGAAAGATAACATCATGCCTCCCAAGGGAACACAAAGCTCTCTAGCAACAGACCYCAAAGAAAAGGAAATTGACAAATTGCCTAAAAAAGAATTCAAATTAGTAATTTAAGGAAACTCAACAAAATAGAAGAGAACATAGGCCAATAATTCAACAAAATTAGGAAAATAATATGATCTAAATATGGATCATGAAAAAAGAATCAAAAAGGTCTTAGAGCTAAAGAACTCAGTAAATTGAGTAAAAATACACTTGAGAGCTAAATAACAAAACCAAACAGAAGAAGGAATGTCTGAGCTTGAAGATAAATCTTTAGAAATAACCCAAACACAAAGAAAGCCTGGAAGACTTACAGGATGTCATTAAGCAAATGTCATGTTGTAGGTGTTCTAGAATAAAAAGAACAGCATAGAAAACCTATCAAAAATAGCCAGAAATTTTCTAAATCTTAGGAAAAATACATAAATTCAGGCCCAGGAAACTTAAAGAATGAAACCTAATAGATTCAACCAAAAAAGATATTCTTTGAGGAATATTATAGTCAAACTGTCAAAAGCCCAAGACAAAGTGAGAATTCTCTAGGTAAGTGTCAAGTTATATATAGTTACATAAGTGTYAAGTTAATCCTCATTAAACTAAGAGTTTTCTCATCAGAGTCCTTATAGGCCAGGAGAAATTGAGATATATATTCTAACATCTGAAAGGAAAAAAATGCACACAAAGAATACTATGTCTAGCAAAGCTATCATTCAGAAATAAAGGAGAAATAAAATCTTTCCAAGACAAGAAAAAACATAATTCATGGGCAGAGGCTGTAGCTCAGTGGCAGAGTGCTTGCCTTACATGTATAAGGCAGTGGGTTCAATCCTTAGCACCACATAAAAACAATGAAGGCATTCTGTCCATCTATAACTCAAAAATTATGAAATACAGTCTGGAGTTAAAAACTGCTTTAAAGCATGAACTTCAGCCAAGCGCAGTGTTGCATGTCTAATCCCAGTGGCATAGAAGGTCGAGGCAGGAAGATAGTGAGTTCATCATTATCAGATCWACTTTACAAGAAATGCTTAAGGGAGTTGTTCACTAGGAAAAAGAATAGTAACTACCATGAAAACATGAAAGTACAAAACTCACTAGTAGAACAGATGCACAAAAGCAAAAAAGAACACAGTTAAATCTTATGTATGGGGAATACCACAGAAATGAACATGAGAGGAAAAAGGTATGTACAAAAGAACCAGGAAAAAAAATTAACAAAATGACAGGATTATGTCTTATCAGTAATAACCATGAATATAAAAATGGATTAAAATTCCTAGTTAAAACATTTAGTTAAGCAAAATGAATTTTTAAAATATCCTGCTTATAAGAAATTCACTTTACCAATAGACACACATAGGCTGAATATGTAGGATTGGAAAAATATYCCACACAAATGAAAACCAAAAGCAAGTGAGAATGGCTGGGAACAGCCATAAAGATAGACTTTAAGTCAGAAACTATAAAAAGAGACAAGATCACTCTAATAATTAGAGATTAATTCAACAAGAGAAAACAAAAATTGTACATTTATATGCACCTAACACCAGAGCACTTAAGTATATAAAGCAAATATTGTTAGATCTAAAGGGAGAGACTGTAGTTTAATAATAATTGGGAATTTCAGTATTTCACTTTCAGCTGTGAACAACACAGACAGAAAATCAAATTTTGTAGTTTACTATAAATCAAGTGGACCTAAAAGTAAGACACCATTTCMTCTAATAGCTACAGAATATACTTTCTTCTCATCAATGCATGGAACATTCTCCAGAATAGACAAAGCAAGTCCCAACAATTTTTTTTTTAAAGTTGAAATTATATTATGTGTCTGACTACAGGATAAAATTAGAAATTAGTAAGGGGAACTTGAGAAATTATATAATCACATGGAAATTAAACAACATGCTCTTAAATGAACAATGAAGAAATCAAAAAGAAATGAAAATGGAAATAAAACATAACAAAACCTGTGGAATGCAGATAAAGCAGTACTAATAGGGAATTTGATAGCAATGAGGGTCTACATTTAAAATAAGATTTCAGATAAGCAAACATTGTATTCAAGGACCGATAAGAGCAAGAACAAACTGAACCCCAAATTAGAAGGAGAAAAAGAACGGATCAGAGCAGAAATAAATGAAATAGAGACTAAAAAGATAATATCAAGAAAACAAGGAGTTGGTTTTGTTTGTTTTTTTGTTAGGGGTTGAACCCAAGACCTCATACATGCTAGACAAACCCTTGTTGAGCTAAATACCCAGCCCAAAGAGTTGGTTTTTTGAAAAGATAATAAAATGAACAACGCTAGACTAACCAGAGGGAAAAGAAGAAAAAACCCAAATAAATAAAGCCAGAGATGGAAAAGGAGACATTGTATCTGACACCAAAGAAATACAAAGGATCATTTATAGGCATATACAAAATATACTATATTGTAAACAACTTATGTCAGTAATTTGGAAAACCTAAAAGAAATCGATAACTTTCTGCCACAGATACCCTAATAAAATTGAATTACAAAGACAGAAAACCTGAACAGAACAATAATGGGTAACAAGATTGAGATATCATTTCACCTCAGTTAGTATGGCTATAGTTAGAAGATAAAAATAACAAATGCTGGTGGTGATACAGCAACAGAGGAACTGTTGGTAGGAAKGTACATTAGTACAGTCATCATGGAGAACATTGTGGAGATTGCATACCAAGTAGAACTCTGCCATGTGGTCAAGCTGTCCCATTACTTGGTGTCTTTCCAAGGAAAATGAGATCAGCATGTTGCAGAGATGCCTAGATTTCCATGTTAGTTGCAGCACTGTTTATATTATCTATGATATGGAGTCAATCTAGTTGTCCATCAATAGATGAATGGATAAAATGTACACAGTAGAATATTAATTCAGCAATAAAAATGTGGAATCCTATCTTTTGCAAAAACATGAATGGAACTGGGATATTGTCTTTGATGAAGTGAGCTAGGCACAGAAAGTTGGATATTGCACATTCTAATTCATTTGTGGAAGCTAAAGGGTTTTATTTCATGGAAATAATGGGGTGAAATGAGGGTTGCCAGAGGTTGGAACGACTGGCGAGAGAATAAATACTAGGATACAGTTGCATGGAAGGGTGGGTTCTAGTCTTCTGCAACACAGTAGGTTGACTGGTTCCTAACAGTTACATATTTTGTGAAGCAGAAAGGGGCTTAAGGGTTCCCAGTGCAAGGAAGTGGATGTTAGGAGGAGACAAATGCTGGTTGCCTTTGTTTGATGTTTGCACGTTTTGTGCATGTATCAAGTTGTCACACTGCCCTGTTTGCATATGCACAAGTACATGTTGATTTAAAAAAGAAGAAGAAGAAGAAGAAAGAATACTTGAAGTTCTATATCCATCACAATGATCTGGTACTGAGTAAAGCATTATTTGCCAGACTTCATGGAGTTGAATTTGTTTTCTAAAAATTATAATTAAATTTAATTTTAATATTCAAGTTTTCTGTTCATGCATTATAAGACTGATAAAATATATATCAGGGCCTTAAAAGTCTTCTCAGCATCCATAGTTACCTCTCATGTAAATCATTCTAGCTCATTTGCCACTTGTGTAGTCATCCACTACTATTGTTTATGCCATTTACTATTGATAGTGTTATATGGTGATTATTGCATTCATTTAGAGGATTCTTTCAGTACCATAATTTCTTACTCTTTTTGTTCTCCATTTTCATTCCCTTTTCCACTCTTGCCATTACCTAATGAATCTATTTGTTATCCTTTTCAGTTTTGCTTTTTTTTTTTTTCTAATGCTACTTCCTTTCCATCTCACTTTTCTGGTACTCTGTAACTCCTATAGTCCTTTGTCCCATTGGAACCCATTGATCTTACCACTTTTTCATTTCATTGTTCCTTCTGTATTTATATCATTTTCCCCCCTTTACCCAGTTATGGTTTCATGATTAATCATTATAATCGCTGTCTTGCATTTACCTTCAAATCCTTTTTTCTTCTGTACTTTTATTGTTCTTTGGTGTTAGCATAATCCTATCAAAATCTGTCTTTGTTTATGTCTTTGAAGATGCAGCTAATTGAAAGCGATTAGAGAAAAACAGGACACACAAACTGATAGATCTTATTCCTTATCAATAACCAAAGTGGGCTCATAATACTGCGCACCAGTCATGTCATGCCTCTTTAGTAATTCTTTTTCCTCACTGTAAGATGACCATTTCATGTTCTGAAACTTCTGATAGTTTTTCTACCTTTCTTAATTCTCAACTGACAACCTTGGTTTTTACTTTACTGAAAATATTGGAGTAACCAGAAAATAATTTCCATACATTCCCATTACCATACCCATGTGTACCTATGTCTCTATATTCTGTTATTCTAGCTAAGGCCTATTCTTTCTTCACCAGATCCCATCCATTTTGCCTACTGAAGTATATTTTGGGGGGAGGGGTACTGGGGATTGAACTCAGAAGAACTTGACCACTGAGCCACATCACATCCCCAGCTCTATTTTGTATTTTATTTAGAGACAGGGCCTCACTGAGTTGCTTTAGCACCTTGCCTTTGCTGAGGCTAGCTTTGAATTCACAATCTGCAGCCTCAGATTCCCAAGCTGCTGGGATCATAGGCATGCACCACCTTGTCTGTGAGGATGTCCAACATCCTTTCTTAAGGGTGTTGTTCCARTGATTTCTTTCCTCTCTTTTACAATCATTAATTTTTCATTCTCTCACTCCTATCAGTATTACAAAAAAATATTTTAAAATGCCCTTTAACCCACTTTTGGCTCCTATCCAATTTCCTTTCTTTCCTTTAACACAGAGCATTTGAAATAATTGCCTGTACTTGCCTCCATTTTTTTCTCCAGTTTTCCTTTTCTTCATGCTCTCCTCTTTACCAAACCTTTCTCCCAGGTCTCCACAGACCCCCCCTCCCCCACATTTTTTAATGTGGTACTTTGGAGAACCCAGTGCCTCACACATGCTAGGCAAATGCTCTACCACTGAGCTACAACCCCAGCCCTCCACAGACCTTCTTGTTGCTAAATCCAGTGGTCATTTTTGGTCTTTGTCTTACTTGATCTATCTGTAACTCTTCATAGTACTTATTTCCTTCTTCCTGAAATATTTTGTCACTTGGCTTCTTAGTGAGTACTTTTTCTTTCTTAAGGGTGAGGGTGGTGGACAGTACTGGGACTTAAACCTAGGGGTGCTCTACCACTGAGCTACATCCCTACTCTTTTTTCTTTTTTTTTTTTTTAAATTTTGAGACTGGGTTTCACTAAGTTGCTAGAACCGCAATCCTCCTGCCTCAGTCTCCTGAGTCACTCAGATTACAGGCATTCATTCATCACCAAGCCCAGCCATTCTGTAGTTTCTCATGTTAACTTTTCAATATCACCCAAACCTCTAAGTGTGGATCACCCCATAACTCAGTTCTTAGATGCTTTTTTCTTCTGTTTTTACTTATTTCCTAGGTGATTGCAATTCATTGTTGTAAATACTTTATCTGGTGATGACTTCCAGATTTATTTAAGTCAGATTTGTCTTTGAAATCAAGTGTATTATCCATTATATAAAGTAGCCAGCCCCAGCATTCTCTTTAAATTCTCAGGGTTTAGTAGGTATCTCAAAGCAGTATGTTTAAAACTAAGCTCTTGAGACTCCCTAAATGTTTAAATGTACTGCTTCTGTACTTTTTTCCTCATCTCATTAATGGCATGTCCATTTTTCTATTTGTTCAGATTAAAAAAAAAAAGTATCATCCTTGTCTCTTCAGTTTTTCCCACATCTGGTTGGTTCTGCAAATCACATTGTCTCTACCATTAAAATACATATAAAATTTGAACTACTGAAACCTTCACCCTGGTCCAAGCCACTGACCTTTCTTATCTGAATTACAGTACTACCCTCTTAACTGATCTCTGTTTAGCCTTCTGCCCTTCATTATTTTTCTCCCTTCATTATTTTTTCCCCATAGCAGCCAGAGTGAACCTGTTAAAATAAAAATCAAATCATATCACTCCTCTATTCAAAAATTTGCAATCATATACTACCTCATGGGTAAATTCAAAGTCTTTACAATTGTCTGTAGGGCCCCACACAGTTGCCTACTGTTATTGTTCATTCTGCTCAGTCACCACTGGTCTTCTTGCATATACTCATGAATACTCTCCAAGCATGCCATATCTCAGAGCCTTTGTACTTGGCTCTCCTTGAAATACTATTCCTTAAGATACTTGCATGACTAGCTTTCTTCCTTACTTTGTTCCAAGTCTTGGCCACTTTCCCTAGCCTCCTGTCTACAATTTCAAACACTCTATCACTCTAGCATATCTCCTTCCTGCTTTACTTTTTCTTCTTATAATCACTATCCAACATAGAATTGTGCTCATTTTATGTCTATCCTCACTAGACTATAAGCTCCATGAAGGCAGGATTTTTGTTTTCTCACTGCCATATCTCCAGCACGCAGCAATACCTAGTATGAATTAGACGTACAATAAACATGCAACAAATTAAAATGTACATGTGGGGATGTATTGACAAGGAATGTGTTAAGAAATTATATGGCCTTATTTTTTCAGTAGATATTTTTAACTAGATCCTGCTATTATTATTCTGAAGATGATGAATTTTTTCCTTGAAGTTTCAGAAAATGATCAGAGCTTTGAGGTGACTATGACCGCAACCACAGAGGTGGCAGATGATGAGATTACTGAGGGAACGGTAACACAGATCCAGGTATAGTACATGTTTTAACTGGCCTCAGGAAGGTGATCACAGTTTAGGTAATAAAATGATACCTTTGCAAAATAGCAACCACAAAATTGAGGTAAGACATCATTTAATTAAAATTCAGTCTCCACATGAGTCTCAGTTATAAGCAAAAGTAGATTTTAAAAATTCATTCCCTGTAGAGTGATTCACATCTCTTGAAACAAAAAATGATGCATATACATTCACTACTTGTAGTGATCTCATAACAACAGTAATGATGGCAATACTATTCCTTTTGGTGCATGCAGAACTAGATAAATTTACCATGTGTAGAGAAGTTGAGTAATAGTCAGATCATACTATTTCTTAAGTGAACCTTTTAATTGTCTCTTATAAGCCCTRGCTGAGATACTTGTGCCAAAAGTAGGCAGACATGGTGGCTCGGGAGGCTAAGCCAGGAGCATTGCGAGTTCAAAGTCAGTGTCAGCAATTTAGTGAGGTGCTAAGCAACTCAGGGAGACCCTGTCTCTAAATAAAATACAAAATAGGGCTGGGGGTGTGGCTCAATGGTAGGGTGCCCCTGACTTCAGTCCCCACCCCAGTACCCCCCCCAAAAAAAAAGTAATATGTATTCTTTGCTATCTTAGATATTCTGAAGCTTAACTATATTATAAATTTACCTTTGACTGATTGCCCCTTTCTTTTTTAGTAGCTAATTCTTTTGCTCATCCCTTCATTTAATAAAATATTTATTTAATAAGATATTTTCAAGGTGGAGGCATGACAGTATTTTTCTTTTAGAAAGCATCACATTGACCATTTAAGAAGTATAATAGTTGGAAATTGATATTTAACATCAAGGACTGAGGATATCTCAGATGTGTGTAGTCAACCTTCTATAATAATAAGCTACTTTAAAAAATCACACAGTTTCCAGAGGAGTGAATATCACATAGATCAGACAGCTTTGAGTAAGGATAGAAATCTTCATAATTAGTCCTTTGATATCAATGGGTGATTTGGACAGGAATTTTTTTCAAGTCCTCTGAACCAGTAGATAATCCTTTCTTCAAAATGAATSTTGTCAAAGTTATTCCAAATTTAAAGATTATGTAGTCTCACTTCATTCAGTTTTCACACAGTAAAAATAACATCCTGTATGTGATTTGATTTACAACATAGTTATTATAGGATTGAACAGTGGTACAATATTAGTCCTTAGTGTAAGAGAAATTATAGAGTTTTGTTTAACTTTTGCCCATTGCCAGAAAGTAAATGAGTTATAACTTAATATTTAGCTTCTTGATTTTTTTGTTTTAGTGAGTGAAAAACTTGATACTAACTTCTAATATTTATTTAATAAGATTAGCATTGGGTTGTGAATTGAAAGCAAATTAAATTGTTCAGAAATAGCCTGCTTCTTACTACTTTTCTGTAAACTAGGAACATATAGCTATTTGACATAGTTCAGTTGCTAATACATTGCATCTCATTCCAGTGATGAGATTAGCTTGAAAAAATAATAAACTCTAGAGCATTCCATTATACTCAGTACTTTGTGGTTTTAAGAGACTTTGAATGGGTTCAATGTTTATTTTTAGATTTCTAAGTCCTTTATACATTACAGACATGAAATCCTGCAACTAACAAAGATTTAAGTTTAAAACAGAGGCCTACTAATAAAGCCTGTGTAATGGCTTTATTATAAAGTAGGGAAATGGAGAGAAGATACTATGAAGCTACATGTAATACAGATACTTACCCAAGTCCCCCACTATACTCAGYAAACTCATTTGTTATAGACAGTGTTAAATATTACTGCTCTTCTTGATTATTTTCTCTTTTGATAGCTATTTACAAAGATTTTAAATAATAATTATAACTCTTTATCAGGAAAATTTGAGTCATAAGGCATTAAATGCCCAGAGATAGCAGTTAATCATCAAAACAGGCTTATTCTTAAGGTTCATGAAATTGACTCTATTACATATTTAGACACACTTTGGAAGGTAGTGATTTGATTGTCTTATCCAGCTGATAAAGAGAGCATCTAAGAGTATCATCTGCAGTTCTTAAAAGTGTATAGTGTGGCGCATGCCTATAATCTCAGCAGCTTGGGAGGCTGAGCAGGAGGATCTGAAGTTCAAAACTAGCCTCAGCCAAAGCAAGTCCCTAAGCAATTTAATGAGACCCTGTCTCTGACTAAAATACAAAAATAGGGCTGGGGATGTGGCTCAGTGCTCAAGTGCCCCTGAGTTCAACCTCTGGAAAATCTACCCTCCCCCCCCAAAAAAAAAAAATTGTGTAGTGTATGTCAAGGTCTTTTGATAGCTCTCTATTTCACCCTTTACAAATGCATAATTCCTGTATCACATTTCAAAGAATTATTGACAAATACAATACATTATCTGATCTGTCTCAGTTCTCTTCTCAGTCTTGTAAAAAAAAATCTAAATATCACACATAAAATAATAGGGCTTTAGAATTGTTCCCATAATTTTTAGCTGGATTTAAAAACATTCATAAATGCAGCATATTACCACCAGCTATAAAAATAAAGCAGCAACAATAGAGGCATAGCTTTCCTTGTTGTGTGCTGGTTGTTCCCTGACAACTCTTTCCAAGTAAGATGGGTTTCAGTTCCTTTTCAGATTAGAAATTCAGTTTCTTCTTATTCAAGAACTATTCCAATCTTTGTTAGAATTTACCTCTAGCGAGTTATATAATTTAGTAGTTTATCCAAATCAAGAGACTGATTGAGTTGAATGACCACCAAGCATTTGGTGGTCCTCTTATCCTGGTCTGCCTATGAATATAGGCTCATACCTGAGATGGTAGCAATATTCTTAATTTACATTGTAGCTTCCTTTTGGCCAAGGTCAAATCTGTTCAAAGATTCTTTGTTCCTGTATAATTTGCTAAAGTATGTCTGTAATTGAAATGTACTTAGTGGTGTACCTTAACTGCAAGAATAATATTAGTACTAATTATTTCTTTTAGAGGAAGATACATTAATAAGGCTGTGAATCGGCTTAGAGATAGGCTAAAACAAAGTTTTCAATAAATAGTAGCAGACAGTGATTTTGCAATAATGTATTTTGATTAGCCCTTTAATCCATTAGGTTCAGCAAGAGATTATATTATGAACAACTGTGTATAGTTTAGGCAGCAAACTACCTCCAAGGACAATAACTAGCCATAATACTCAACCCTAGTATTTCCATTTTCTTATCTGGAACTGATTATAACTATATTTATAAACTCATTTATATATGTACACAAGTGGAATAGCCTGTATTGATTAAACTATGTAATGCATTCTTGACCCACATTATTAAAACTTGAAGCCACTAGTACTTTMTAGGTACTTTCTTAAATGGTCATATATATTAATGTTTTTATACTGCCATAATAAAAGAAGCAAGAAATATATGTCTTTTAAATTGAATGTATTTTACTATACCTAAAAGAGTGAATTCCATATTATTACATTAGGTTTTTAGCATGCCTAGCATCACAAAAGTTAAGTTTTGTATTAAATCAAGCTACTACTTAGCTACTACCTTTTTTTTTTTTTTTTTTTTTAGATTTTACAGAATGAACAACTAGATGAAATATCTCCTTTGGGTAATGAGGAAGTTTCAGCAGTTAGCCAGGCTTGGTTTACAACTAAAGAAGATAAGGATTCTCTAACTAACAAAGGTAAGATGTACTATAGATTTTAGTGCCCAGTGGAATCAGCTGAGGGACTTGCAGGCATGAAGTTTCTGAGTTGGACCTTTACAGTTGTGATTTGAATAGTTACAGTATTTGAGTTTTTGTAATTGAATTAAATTTTGCTCTGAATGACTTTGAATGGGACCATGAAACCAACATTTGCTTTTCAATAATTAATCATTATTTTTCTTTTTTTAATACAAAGTAGATTGTCATGTTAATTTTAGAACAAATGCATGATTGTGGTATTTAAAAGACAGTACAGTCATTGCTTATGAGAATAGGTAATCAAGCCTTTTCAAAGGTCTACTTACTGGTTTAAAAGCATCTTAAAAGATTATAGTGTTTGTAGAACTGCTGTGCTTTTGAATGTAGCTAGGGAAATTGATACTAAAAAATGAGGGTATGTACCACTTTGGAGTAAGGAGAGGAAGTAGAAAGAAGTACATTTATTATTTTCTACCCACTGTGCAATAAATATTCTAAGAAGACATTCACTTGTCATCATGTTTACCTTCCCTTAGAATCTTTTTGTACATATTCCTTGCCTATAAAACTCTTTTTTTTTAATGGGGGGTACCAGATATTGATTTCAGGGGCACTCAATCACTGAGCCACATCCCCAGTCCTATTTTTTATTTTAGTTAGAGACAGGGTCTCACTGAGTTCCTTAGCAGCTCACCGTTGCTGAGGCTGGCTTTGAACTTGCCGTCCTGTCTCAGCCTTTCAAGCTGTTGGGATTGTGGGCAGGCTTATTTTTCACAGAAAAAAWTTTCAAAAAGTTTTAAGAATAATTTGATTTTTCTTATTTTTATAAGTTTCTTTTTAGCAGTTACATAGTTCTGAAAGGATGTGAGAAGTAATAGTTTTAAAAATCTTTTAGTTGTCATTGTCTTTATTCAATAGGTCAGATGTTTTCTTACTTAAAAACCAGAAGGTATGAAAGCATCTTTACCTTAGGATCTTTCAGGTTTAAAATGAGTGAGAAATTAAATTTGCTGTTTTATGCCCACTGATAATTTAATCACAAACCACATCTTTAATATTTTCTTCTCACAAAGTAGTATTTTCTGTAATGTTTCTTGCTTTCTTTTAAAGGACATAAATGGAAGCAGGGGATGTGGTCAAAGGAAGAAATTGATATTTTGATGAACAATATTGAACGCTATCTGAAGGTACCCTATGACATRTTTTTGTGTTCCACTAATTTGTTTATTGCCAATTGCAAAAGTAGTGAAGCAGTATTCCATATAATTATTATGAGGTTTTCACTAATTTTTGTAACAGATTATCAACTAATATGTTATAGCTTAATAATACTAAGGTGAATGATTACAATATAAAATTTTTAGCCAATTTTGAATTCTGAATTTAAAATAGTTTTATTGCTTTTAGTTACTATCTGAAGTTTAGGCAGTCTTAATAATCTCCCAGCATATTGAAGTCTTGTCTTTTCAAGTAGCCTGTAAGTTAGAGTTTAATTTATATTGTTTAAATCCTAAGATATGCATCTGCTTTGAACTTAAGATTTCATAATAGTTCTTTGCTTTTAAAAATCTTTAAAAATAGTTACTTTTCATATTCAGACATTACTTGCTTGTTAGTTCTCTTCGTTAAATGCCCTTTTAATGTAGTATTGTTGAAATAGGACAGAGAGGACTCTCCTTAACGTAGAATGTTTTCTTTTGAAAAGCTGTGGGTTCCTTTGGGAAAACTGAAACAGGTGAAGAGTAACATAAGGCATTTTACCATGTGATTGATATATGTTTGTCACACTGCAAGAGTTTAGAGAGGAAATAGTTTATTCTCGGGATTGGAACAGTTAGAAATTTTTGTAAGAGCAAGAATTTGAGCTGAGTCTTCAAGGGGTAGAACTTGAACTAGAATAGGACTAACTAACTGGAGGGAATAGCATGCGTAAATGGTAAACAGCAAGGAATCAGAGATCAAAAGACCCTGCAGATTAATTCCTTTAACTTGAATCTTCATATATGCCTCCAGAAAACTAGCCTTTAAAAACCAGACCAGAGAATTAGAACTTTATCCTATAGGAAACAAGAGGCATTGAAGTATTTAAGAAAAAGGCTGATTGCTTAGTTAAGTGAGACATTAATAGGGCAGATCCAGACTTTTCTCCTGGAAGTCTTTTCCTGACACTTTCCACCTTTCCCCATAATGGCATTAAATTCAAATAGTCCAAGTTTGAAATGTGGAAATTAGTATTGTTTGGGAAAGGGAATGTACAGCATCTATTTAACCATTAATTTTCTTATTGTTTGATATATGTATGTATACARTATAAATGCATCATTGCTTAGAATATGAACAGTCTTCCCAAGCTAAGTTTTATAAACTATAAAGTTGATAACCTTTYATTATTTACTAATGAGTGAAGATTCCTCCACCAAGTTTATGGTTTGAAGATAAAACAGTGAACATTGAAAAGTATATCCAGAAGTATATTAAAGGCGGTTCACAGTACTAGGGTTGTGGCTCAGCGGTAGAGCACTCGCCTTGCACATGCAAGATCCTGGGTTTAATCCTCAGCACCACATAAAAATAAATAAGTAAAATAAAGATATTTTGTTCAACTACAACTAAAAAATAAAGATTAAAAAAAACAGCTGTTCACTAGTCACATATATTAGTTAAAACTGAAAAAGTGCTGTATATTTAAATGAGGCAGTAAAGCATGATTTAAAAAACAAACAACAACAACAAAAATACCACTGGGCTTGGGGAAATAAGATGGTTTCTTGTATAGGAAATAGAATAAATGATCCCAAAGACTCTTCCAACAGTGATTAATCGGCGAGTGGCAAGGACTTAAGTAGAATTATAATATACAGGGAAAAGACAGATAAGCAAGTAGAGTCTATAAGGAATCCTGGTGCTTAGGTGTTGGGAAAGAAGTAGGAGAAGAGTTGGAGTAACTTAAAAGAAATTTTAATTGGGCAATTGGGAGAATGGTGATAGAATTGACAAAAATAGGAAATGTCTACAGGAGACCCTGCCCTGATCTTGAGAAAACATAATTTGTTTGGTTTTAATATTCTGACTGTGCTTTTTATTATATAATGCTTTTCTAAAAGTGCTGTGGAGCCATTTTTAAACCTCAGAGAATTCKGAGTAAACATCATATATTCTATTTATATAGAAAAGATAATGAAATTACCACAAGCAAAAAAGTGGTGGTAGGAAGAAAACTCTTTAATCTTTGTGGTTTTCCTGCAACACGGTACCTTGCATGTAGGTGTTTAAATGTTTAGGTTTAATCATTTACAAAAGTGAAACTGCATAAAAGAGAATTTTAGAAAAAATTCCAAAATTGAGAAAGTTTTCACCATGAAGATTCATACATTCAAAAGTATCTAAAATGCATGCTTGTATAATTTTACCTGGTTTTGAAGGCTACCCATATTCATTCTCAGGGTATTTTGTAAGTTGCCCTTTTACTCTGCATTATCATTTTGATATCCATCCTCTGTTGATTTAACTGTTTTATTGTGCAGATATACTGCATGTTACTCATTCCACAGTTAATTGTCATTTGGGTTCTTTCTGGGTATTTTTGCTATGTTCACGTCTAATGTTTTGTGAATGGTATTTCTTTATGGTTTCAGTTTATATTCCTCCAATAACATTTTTATATACTTACTGGCCATTTGCCTTTCTTCTTTGAAACTCCTCTTTGTGTGCTAAATACTAAAAATGCTTTATTGGTCATTTGTGTTATAGCTATCTTGTCTCAATTTAGTGGCCTATATTTTCCTTTTTAGATATATTTGATGAGAAGAAATTTTTAATTCCAGTATTAAATTTATCATTTTACTTTTATGTTTTGCATGTTTAAGAAATCTTCCCCTAGCTTCAAAGGCATGAAGATTTTCTCAATTTTTCCTTTCATATTGTCACCTCCATAAATGTGAAGTAGGGTTTTAGTTCTATCTTATTATCCTAGCATTGTTTTGGGGGTGTCAGTCTTTTTCCCAGACTACAGTGTCTGTTCTATCCTAAACCAAGCTTCCATAAGTTTCTTTATAGGTTTTCTAGGTTCTCTTTGTTATACTTGCTTCAGTACAACATTGTCTTCAGAAATCCCAATATCTGGTCGGACAAGTCTCCTCATGAATGCCTTAGCTCTTCTTGGCTCTTTACTTTTTTATATAGATTCAGAATTAGTTTGCAGTAAATTAAAAGCTTTGATAGAATTTTCATTGGTATTACATTGAACCTGTACATCAGTTTGGGGGAATTAACATCTTTTCAGCATTTTATCTTCCTCTTGAATGTGGTATAACTCACCAGTTTTGCTAGTTCCTTGTTAAAATTTTTCAATAAATTTTATGTTCTTTGTAAAGGACTTTTCATAACTTGGCCTAAAAATTTAGTCTTGATGCCTTTAATTTTGTTGCTATCACAAATAATGACTTTTAAAATATAAGCCTTGTATAGAACTGCAAATAACTATATATTGATTTTATATCCAGCAACCTTGCTAAAATTTAGCCTTTTTGAAATCAACAATTTTTTTCTTGAAATTGGGCTTATACATGTATTGCATATTAAAATGATTACTTTCCAATCTTTTTCCTTTTTATTATTCTTGCATTAGACGACCAGAGCAAATTGTAATTTGCTCAGCTTTATTCTACATGAACATTGAATTTTTATGAATATTTTCTTGAGATTTTATATTCTGTAAATTATTGATGAGATTAATTATATTAGTAGTTTTTCCTGCAGTTGACTCAAGTTTGTATTCCTGTGATAAACTCACTTTTTACAGTGATGTATTAACTTTATACATTGCTGGATTCAGTGCTAAAATATTAGGATTTGGGGGTCTATGTTAATAAATGAGGTTGGCCGCAAAATTCTTTTCTAAAACTGTCCTTATCTGATTTTGCTACTAAGGTTACGCCAAAATGACTAAGAAAGTATCCTCACTATTTTCTTTACTGTAGAATAGTTTTAGATCAAAGTTATATGACTTTTTGGTATAATTTACCTGTAATGACAGTAGTACCTGGAGTTTTCGTTGAGGGAAGAACATTCTTGTTGGTTTGTGCCTATTTGATTTTCTCTCTTTTCCAGAGTCTGTTTTGGTAAGTTGACTTTTTCTAGGAATTTACTTGTTTTACCTAAATTCAAATTTATTGCCAGAAAGTTGTATATAATGTTCTTTTATTGTCTGATCTCTCCAGCATCTCCACATAGGCTCCATTTTTTTCACTCCTAATATTATTTGTCTTTTTAAAAATTTCACCAGAAATTTTATCATTTCAAATTTTAATTGTAATATATCTTTTCAGAGAACCAATTTCTTGATTCATTTATCCTTTCTATGCTTTCTTATACTTTCTGTGCTATGATTTCCAATTAATTTAGCTTTTATAATTTTCTTCCTTCTACTATATATTTGTTTTAAAAATTTTAATATAGTTTTAAAAGGAGTTAGCAGAAATTGAATTTATTGAACCTAATACAACTTGCTTTTGGAGCATTTAAACATCACTTTATTATCTCAACATTTTAAAAGTTTATATTTGACTTACTAATGAATTAGCCTTATACTCTTTTTCTAAATGCAATTAATGAACTTTAACATTAAAACAAGTTTTAAAAGCATAGTATGTCCAGATGCATTTTATCAGAAATCCCTAAATCAAAGAAATGTAACCCATTTAGGCACGCGGAATAAAAGATGCCACAGAAATCATCTTTGAGATGTCAAAAGACGAAAGAAAAGATTTCTACAGGACTATAGCATGGGGTCTGAACCGGCCTTTGTTTGCAGTTTATAGAAGAGTGCTTCGCATGTATGATGACAGAAACCATGTGGGAAAGTATGAAAACTTGTAATGCTGCATGTTTTCATGTAATTAGGGGAAATATTTAAGTAATTGTCTTTTTTGTTTTTTTAGTTGAATTATGACTGGGGGCCTCAAGTGAAGACAGCTATGAATTACAGTTAATATTTTTATCATTCAGGTCTACCTTGATTACATGATTAAAAAACCTCATCATAAGGCCTCTTAGAAATTAGAATCTGAGTGTGTGTGTATATATATATATGTATATATATATACATATATATATATATATATAAATATGGCAGAGTCTTATTTGTAGTAAATAACAAAGTATGGTAATGTTAAAARAACTCTAAATTCATTGATGTGAATTTTTCTTTTTTGGGGGGTAACATTACTAAGTTTCTGGCCTTTCTAAAATAAAACCAGAGAGGAAAATAACTAATTCTGGACACAGTGCTTGAATTTCTGTTATAGGCAGCATTTATTTAAAGCATCATTAATTTTCTTCAGTGATTATGTGGTGTTACTGACATTTTAAATTTCTCTTTGGGAATTTTAGGTGGCAGTAATCTAGCTTACTAGATATTACCAAGCTTCAAGTGCTGCTTTTYCTCTAGCTCTTCAGCTCCTTGCTAATGAAAATATATTTGAAAGCTGAAGGGAAATAAATAGTGAGTGGGAAAAGAAATTTTTAAAAAGTGAAGCAAGAGTGACTAAATTTTTCATAAGCCTTCCAAGTAGTTAAAAAGTGATTGGCCTTTTATAATTTTTAAATAAATGGACATTTTATAAAAGAAGAGTGCACTGGCTGTATTGAAATAAAGAGCAAGTTTATGCCAGAAGTTCATGCTTGACTAAATGAAAGGAAGATAATTTTTTCAATGCCTTGAGAGAATTTTCCTTTAGCTAAGTTATCAATGAGTCTTTCTGAAATAGTTACAATTTCAGTGTGTCTAAACTAAACTTTGTTATAAAGGAAGAGTTAGGAGCATAGGAGCAAAATCATTTTAAATRTTGAATTTTCATAGAGAAAATTGCTAAAATCATTGTTTTTTTTAAGACAATAGAAGCATTTAACTTTTGAGTCATTTTAAAATGGGTTACTTTAAAATATGATACATAAGCTGACTTAATATTGAGTTCCTTAAGTGAAATTCTGATTTTTATTAAGGTTTTTAGCATTCCTAATGTTAATTTATCTCTTTTTAAAATTTCTTTGTATTTCTAGATATACACCTGAAGAAATTGAGAAACTCAAGGAGTAAGTTTTAAATTGTTTTCATTATCTCTAATTGTTGGGGTTTTGTCTTGGGTTTTTTTAAGTTTCAATTTAAAATTTTGAGATTTTTGGTAGACTGGTATAGTTTAATCCTGCTGTTAAACATGATTAACCATAAAAAGAGCTTATCTGATCTAGACTTGCACAAAGTAGCTATGTCCATAGCATACCAATTTAGTCTCCTATTGTCAATCACAGAATACTCCTCAGACCACTAATAGGTTTCAGAAGAGGGCCATTTTTGGTTTGGGGGGTTTATATAATAGAATCAAAACCAAGGTTGTGCTTCACAACTTAGTCTAAAATGGTGAGTTAGCAAATGTTTCACTGAATATCCTTGCTAACTACCTTGTAAAGGTTGTTGAAGTCTCAGAAATATACTTTTGCTTCATTGAGTTAGGGTCATAAAAAGCATGGTTTAATGGACTATTATAATAGATCACGGAAAAAAACACTGAAGGTTCTTATTTTCAGATGTCTGAAGAAGAATTTGTGAGGTATTTGCTCAAAAGGGAAAAATCTGGGGCTTACCTGGGAGATTGTGTCAATAACCTGAGGGGAATTTGGTCTTTTTTGAACACATATCCAAGTTACTTATTTCTTCTCTGACCCAGGAAAAGGGCAATTGCTGCCTGTTTTTTTTCACCCACAGACAACTGTGGACCCCAATAAAAGGCCACACTTTCAAACTTTGGCTCTCAAAGTATTGCTGCCCACAACTTCCAAACCAGTCAAATGGGAAGAAGAAGAATGAAGAATAAATGATGAAATTAAAAGGGAGAAAACAGTTGAACCAAATGCTGATTGGCAGACTCTTGTTTTAGGCTCCGGATAAAGCATGGCAATGACTGGGCAACAATAGGGGCGGCCCTAGGAAGAAGTGCATCTTCCGTCAAAGATCGGTGCCGACTGATGAAGGATACTTGCAACACAGGTACTTTGAATGCTGCTGGTGGGAGATTTTTTTTTTTTTTTGGCGGTGGGGTCACTATTTGAGCTTCTTGCCCTGCAGATACTGCTTTTTCTTCTGAGAGGAAAAAAAAWATATCATTTGCTTAATTCAACTTTTCTAGTCTCCTTTTCTTCTTTTTCTTTCTCCTCTCCCTGCCCTTCAGTTTAACAGGTCCAACTAATCTTAATTTGTGTGCTTTATTTATTTTTTTAAGGTGACATTGTTCACAAGGACACAGAATTTCTTAAGTTTCAAAAGGACTTTTCAGGGCTAGGACTATAGCTCAGTTGGTAGAGTGTTTGCCTGTGATGCACAAGGTCCTKGGTTCAATCCCCAGCACAACAACAACAAAAAAGGATTTAGGTCTAACATGTTTTCACTTATGTAGCAATTCTTATTAAAATACTTGAGAAAGTATTTTAAGGCATGTATATAGAAAATGGATTTTAATTCAGGTCCATTTAACTTAATATTAACAGTACTGAATCATCTCATGTTCATAAAAAAAACATTGGTTGTTGGCAAGTCCCAAGTTAGGAAGAAGGTGTGTGTTCAAAAGATTTATATGTGTTTTGCTTATCTCAAAGTATATTTTTCCATTTTTAAAAAAACAGCTTATGACTATTGGTATTTTAATCTCCAGGCCAAACTACAAATACACACAAATTTATTGGTGATAATGTTAAACCTAACCTTCAACAACAGTATTTAGGTTCTGTTGTTAACTATCATTTAAAATATCATTTTGAGCCTCTTTCTTTAAAACAGAGATTAGAATAGAGGGGAACTAATGTTCTCTAAAGGTTCTCTAAATCTATCCTTTAAGTAAAAACAAAAACAGTTTTCCAGTTTAGCTTCAGCTTCTAGGGTATATGTAGCCTCACTACACTAAAGTGAAATCAAGAATATATCCTTCTTATCTACTCTACCTTGGGTGTTAAAGCACCCTTGGATTTTATCTCCAGTACCACACACACACAMAAACGGAATATTTGATATTATTTATTCATAAGTTCATGAGTTTAAAAAAACAGGAGTAAAAATGGGTATGAATACTAGTGTCAAACTTTATTGATCACATTAGTGTGGAGTTGGGATAGTGGGGAAAGAAGATAGTATAAGTTTAGTCTTTACTAAAATAAGTAGAGCTGGTAGATGTCCCTCATCATTCATTCTTGTGACTGTTGGCCTCTTAACTTACTCCACACTTCTGCAGAGTAGGAGTTTAGTGAAAGCATTAGTTTCTGGCCTGTTGGGCCATCATTGAGGCTCTTTCCATCTTACTGTTTTTATATAAGTTCTTGGTATAACTTGAGAGTACATAATTCTTCATAGTTATATTTAGGGTAGTTTTTCTTGACTTAAAAAGTCAGTTGGTCCTTTCCATTATGATTCTTTGTTTTGTGTGTGTGTGTGTTGAGACCTTTACTGGGGGTAATAAAACACAATTATCAGTAGGTATATGTGGTTTCCTACCAGAGGGCCATTCACCAAATAAACTCTTAGTACTACTGCCTATTTCCCAGTACTTGGAAATATAAGGCTGAATCAAATTTGTAAAAGAAGGTAGCAGTGGTAGTTTGGATTATTTCCTTCTTTCAGGGAAATGGACAGAAGAAGAAGAAAAGAGACTTGCAGAGGTGGTTCATGAGTTGACGAGCACTGAGCCAGGTGACATAGTCACACAGGGTGTGTCTTGGGCAGCTGTGGCTGAACGTGTGGGTACCCGCTCAGAAAAGCAGTGTCGTTCTAAGTGGCTCAACTACTTGAACTGGAAACAGAGTGGGGGTACTGAGTGGACCAAGGAAGATGAAATCAATCTCATCCTCAGGTTTGTGTCCTAATAGAAACTGAATAGTTACTGTGGATGTCTTGATTGACTTTCCTGTTTTAGTTTTCCTAGATGCCTAATGTCTGAAAAACATCCTTTCCATAGAGAGCCATTCATATTGAGCTCTTTTGTTTTGTTTTGTGTTTGTTCCTTTTTAGTGGATTTAGTGCCCGGGCAAAGTACCAGATTGAAGGCGTGGAGACTGAAGTCCTCTATATCCACAGAACAGGTATGGCACAGGCAGCGGCAGTGCAGCTTTTCCACTGTCTCACCAATGTGCCTCAGTCCTAGCCTAGGGGTACATGTTTAGGGTAATAGAGCTATTCAGTCTCCATGCCCTTCAATCCTTGGCTACTGTGCTAAGATTGTCAAGAAGGGGGACCCAATCCATAATTACACCATCAGCTTCGAAAAATTAAAAAACACCTTTAAGATAATAACCCCAATTTTATTTTTTTTTAAATTTGTTGGTTTAACCATTATGATTCAGTGACTGAAGTGAACAAAAACAGCAGCAAGAAAATATTTAAGACACTGAAGAAAGAAACTTTTGTGGCTACYGTGCTTAAAATCAAGATCATCACAATAGTTAAAACTAGAAATAGTTAATAGACCTTTAAAACCCACAATTTAGCCAGGCATGGTGGCACTTGCCTATAAACCCAGCAGCTCAAAAGGTTGAAGCAGAAGGATTACAAGTTCAAAGAGAGATTCTGATTCAAAATAAAATATAAAAAATGGGCTGGGGATGTGTTTTAGTAGTTAAGTGCCCTTGGGTTCTCCGTACCAAAAGAAAAAAAAAATTTTTTTTTAGTTGTACTATTGGTAGTACAACTAAGAATTTTGGTTTTGTCTTTGTGTCTTTAAGGGTATTTTATTACATTAGTCATCTTTATAAATAGCTCATTTCTAAACCCATTTGTTTTACAAATGAAAAAGATGCAGAAACTAATGTAGTAAAGGCCATACTATGAAACACTGAAGAACACTGTACAACTAAACCTGTTCTTATTCTAATCTTTAGCCTACTCCCTTTCCTTCACAGTACTTCATCTGGTTATACCCATTTGCAAGGGGTTAGTGCGCTGGTTAATACGGCTGATGGTATTTCTTAGCTTTTAACTCTGGAAGCAAGTCGGCATTCCTGGAATCCTTTCCCCATGCAGCATAAGAGTGGCATAATCTGCCATTCCTTTTATTACCAGAGTCGTCATCACCTAGTCAAAGGAGGGTTCTTAGGGAGAAATTAATTTAACAGCTAACACATGGTTTTTTGTAACCTGTAGGATAGCAGAGCTTGATGTAGCTGATGAAAATGACATAAACTGGGATCTGTTAGCTGAGGGATGGAGCAGTGTCCGTTCGCCACAGTGGCTTCGAAGTAAATGGTGGACCATCAAAAGGCAAATTGCAAATCATAAGGATGTTTCATTCCCTGGTAATGTATTGCTTGCCTTTTTAATTCCTTCCCTTCTCTTACCATATTTACTCTTTAGTGCCATGTAAAGATGTATCATGGCAGATTTTTACTTATGCCCTATTTCTTTGAGTAACTGTCTTCCCTAGAGAAAAGTTAATGTGATTGTAATACCTGAAGCCAAAAGATGAAAATATATACATTTACACATTCTTGTTTGTCAACATAAACTATAAATAGGAAATAGATTGTACGTTTTACTTTTGTACAGATTTCTTTCTCAGTACTTAAATTTAAATAAACTTTTATGAATTTTATAATTTTAAATATCTTCACAGGATTATTTAGAGAAAATCTTTGGCAATGTATTCTATAAAAGAAAAACTCTGTAAATTTCTATTTTCATTTGTTAGGTAAATCCAGAGATCCTAAATTGGGTTTGCTTATAGACAGCATACTTTTCCTTGCATGTTTTGCACTTACGCATTAAATTGAGTTGTATAGCCTATTTAATTTAGGTTGTTAAATTCATCCCTTAATATAAAATTCCAACTTAAATTTTTCCTAAAAGAGAATTAAATGCTAAGGAATTTTCACTTGATTAAAAAAAAATCTATATTTGGCCTCCCTGTGCAAGACCTCAAGAGAGGCTGCATATTACATATACTTTCCTCTGCAGGTATAAGCATACAGGCAATCAAGTGCCTTTGAATCACTGAGAGAAAAATGAATACTGTTTAAAAATAAGTTGCTTAGCATTGACARTATTCTTCGTAAATAAAAGGAATTCTGTCAGTAAGCCCTGGGAAATTAGAAAATGTTTTATTTTTACTTTTTTTAAAACAATGCCCACTCTTGGCTTTTTCATTATTATTCTTGGATGGCAAAAACATGATATTAAGAATTTTCTAAATCTGCTTCGGCATGGTGGCATGTATCTGTAGTCCCAGCTGCTTAGGAGTGGAGGATCACCTGAGCCTAGGAGGTCAAGACCAGCCTTTTCAAAACAAGACCCCATTTTCGGGCAAAAAAAAATCTGTTAGATGGATGTTTTAGTATTTTTATTGTTATTTTGATTAGTTTTCACATTCATTATGCAATTATTTATTCCAAATACTTTCCCTCCTTACCCCTCCTACCCCACCTCCCTTGTTGCTTAGATGGTGGTCTGTCGGAGAGTCATGTTCTTTTTGTCTACCCATCTCCCTTCAGTCTTAATAAAAGGTCTTAAACAGTTACATGAGAACCAAAAAAACAACCCAACACTTTTGGAGAATAAATCAGGATCTGGAGTTCCAAACAGTAATTCCAATTCCAGTGTACAGCATGTTCAGATAAGAGTTGCCCGGTTGGAAGATAATACAGCCATCTCTCCAAGTCCTATGACAGCGTTGCAGATTCCAGTTCAGATCACCCATGTCTGTAAGTGTTGGAACCTCAAGGCTCCTTGCCACTGGGATTTGTATGATTTGGTTTTACCTAAGTTGGTGAATTAAGGAAAACTAAGGCATTTTATGTTTAGCTCAGTTAATATTTATACAAAGAAAGAATGTGTAACAGGAAGGACTTAAAACCTGGGTATTGTAAATCATTCAAAACCATCTTTCTAGATTTTATAATTAACGATTCAATAAATGGGACATAACTTTCCTATGTTTCTGTATGAATACACAACCAGTGTAGTAACTTCACATTATGTACAACCACAAGAATGAGAAGTTATACTCTGTATGTATAATACGTCTAAGTACATTCTATAATCATGTATAACTCAAAAGAACAAAAAGGATTCAATAGAAATCAATTAGAAATTAAAATTAATGATTAATAGAAAACTGTCTAAAATAATGAATTAATGGAGCAGAAGATATGGAGTTCACAAGGTTAAGCACATCATTTATAGCAACTTTATCAGAAGACATAAATAGGGGATGGATTTGTGATCATATGTAGAATGGGTTTTGTTAAGGTCGAGAAAGATTTTCATATAGGAGATAAGTCAGTTTCCTACAGGAAAAATTTTTTCATCCCTCAGTTGTTCTTAGCACCTGATTATTTTGTGCTTGATGAGATTAGGGAACCCAGCAATTATTATGGGGAGGGGAAATACTTTCTCTTCAGCTCTAAGCAAAGTTGACACTTCTCCCCTTTTTTCCATCATTCTTGGATTGTAATGACAGAAAAGGAATGAGAACAGTCTTATCACTTTTTTAATAAGAGGTCTACATATTGCCTATGAAGGTTATTACCCACAAGCATACCAGTCACTTGAGCATTTTTGCATGAGGCATGTCTTCACATTGCAGGATSCCCAGTATCCCTTGACCTTACCCACAAAATGCCAATAGTGCTTTCCAATCATGACAAGCAGAAACAATTCCAAATGTATCCTCTGGTTGAGACTTACTTGGCTACCTGTTGGTTTTATTATCAACACCATATCTGTATATGATTATAATGATTGAATGGGGTAGGGGGTATAGCTCAGTAATAGTGTGCTTGTCTAGCATGCGTGATGCCTGGGTTCCATCCCCAGCACCCAAAAGCAAAGTTACCTTAGAGACATTTAAACTAATCTCAAAGTTCTTGAGTTTATTTGCTTCACCTTCCTTCTATTATAATAAAGCATTAAGAATTTTATTTTGCCTTTCTTGTTTCTGTTTTATAGCCTAAGAATTACAGAGTAACTGCAATTACTAGTTAAGATAAAATGTGTGCTACTATATTGGTTGTAAATTGATTGTGCATGGAGAATTTTAGTTTTCCGTGGGCTGACAATACCTATTAGGAAGACAGCAAACATTTTATAAATAGTAAAATAAGTTATTTGCCTAGGTTTACATTGCTAGTAAGCAGTGTTGCTAACACTTGCAGTGGGCCAGACTTGGCTGTGACATGTGTGCCATCCCAGATAAGTTCATTAGATTTCTTATCTCAATTTAAATGACTCCGGTTTACAGGCAAATTTTTCAGAATGAATTTGCCTTCATGACAATTGAGTACACTATAGAACCTTTATAAAGCATTTTATTGTTGTCCTTGTTCTTACTACAGCTTCAACAGACTCCCCTGCTGCTACTGTTGACTCAGAAACAATAACACTAAACAGTGGAACACTACAGACATTTGAGATCCTTCCAGTGAGTAATACTTAATATAATGGATATTGGCCATTTTTATGCATAAGAAAGATGAGTTGGTAACATTTTTTTTTAAAAATGTTATATATGTCATATAAAAGATGAAACTAAATATTTGAGGCCAGACGAATAGCAGACATTATATATAAATCAGACTTCCACTTTTTAAATTCATTTAAATTTGCTTTGTTCTCATCTGTACGTAATCCCATGTATTTTTACATATGAAAATGACAGTGCTAAAGAGTAGAGCACATAACATGGACTGTACTATACTGAATTATAAGTTCATTCTGGTTATTTGAGAAAAGGGTTATGGACAACAAATCATGAGCTTGAATAAGACTGATTCAGTAAACACTTTAGTAGCCACTGGGGGCACAAATTTTAAAGTTCCATTCTTAACTGGTTTGACCACTTTGGGAAAAATCTTATAATTTCTAAAAAGATCAAATGTAGTGTTGCCAAACATTCCACCAGTTCTAATCCCAAAGAACACCTAAGAAATTGAAATATATTTCAACATAAAAACTTGTACATGAATTTTGATCATGTCTTGGGCCTGCAATAGGTGGTCACAATGCTGGGAAGAAGCAGCACGTTATAGGGTCCAGTTATTCACATAATCACAAGGGTCAACAGCCAATATTTTTGGTACTGTATCAAGTAAGTATCAAGCAACTGCTGTGTTGTTAATAAGTTAGGGATATAAAATGCATTTTTTACTAAGTGGCATTTTCAGTTTATGATGGGTTTAGGTAAAAGTGTATCTCTATAGGGCTGCCATTTACTTGAAGAGTAATGGCTGACTCTGGCCTGATGAAATGGGTCATGATTGTTATATGTAGTCCTAGTCATTGTTCTTCTTTCTAAAACAAAGAAACCCAGATTAGTTCATATTTCATTAAGTAGAAAATAATAAATTGTATATAAATTCTCTCCAGATTCATTTACTTTAAAAAACATAAGGGGTATTAGTAGAAGAGTTTATTCGTCCTCTCCACAATCAAATCGCAGGAGGAAGATGAACAAAGCAAAAGGTTCTCTTTCTATCCTTAGAACTCAAAGCTTGCTTAATTGGTTTCCAAAATAGGAATATATACAAGACAACCATATGAAACAGGTAGAAAACAACTTAATTTTATGTTTTTTTATACCTTTCTAAGTAAAAATACACTTATACATACAATTGAGATTTGTGTTCAGTTTATTACTTAAAAGGTCACATTCAACTATTTAGAGATTTCTCTCCCAATTTATTTGTAGGGGATGATACCAGTAACCAAGCTTCAAAAAATGGAGACTTAAATATATAATAAGTTAAATAAAACATGTAACTTACAGAGTATTTACAGTTATAACTGTCTATATGTGATTAATACATGTAACTCTTAAGGAAAATTATTAGCTTTCACTTTTTTTTTTTTTTTATGATTGTTTCCCTCTTGGGTGCTAGGCACTTTCATAGTCATTTCTAATCTAAACTCTTCCCATGAGATATAGCTATTATTCCCATGTAAGGAATAAAGAAACCTGTATTCAGGGATTTATTATACAGGAGTTGACAAGATGATGTTAGATCAAACAACAGGCCACATAATTTCAACCCACAGCCGTATTTCAAATACATACACTTCTTCTAACTTAAAATTACATAGAAGCTTATGGTTTGAAAGGTTTATTGGTAAATAATTTTGTTACACTTTAAAATCTCAAAAGATAAAAATGTTTGATCAATTAACCARCTTTCAGATAAACATCTTTTTTCTTTAGAGCATTATTATTGACATTTTGGTAAATTTTCCCTTAATAAGAAACATTTCTTAAAATTATACTATGAAAATTTGAGTTCAAGTAAGTAAACACTGCTGTTGTGCCTTTTAAAAAATGGTAACTTTCTTTTTTAAACTGGGATACTGCCTGTTTTTATGTGCTACAGAGAAAGATTAAAGAGAGATGATTGTGTATACGCTGGGTTATTTATTGCATGTGCATCTGTGTCTTAGTGCCCTGAAACAAATAGCTAAGACCAGACCATGGGAATACATAGGAACAAAGAGTAGGATAAATGCCTTACCTGTTAAATCTCCAGACTGAGTAGTGATTTGACGCAGAGTATTACACCCTTCATTTTATTATTTGTTTGCACCCTCATAATTGGTAAGTACATTTGTAGCTATAAATTAGAATCAGTTCATTTTAAGATGTAGAGGTAGATTTAATCAGTAGCCTATTAATACATATATTGAGCTGTCTCCTTTGTTTCTCCTTTAGTCTTTCCATTTACAGCCCACTGGCACTCCAGGCACCTACCTACTTCAGACAAGTTCAAGTCAAGGCCTTCCCCTAACTCTGACTGCTAGTCCCACTGTAACCCTGACAGCTGCTGCTCCTGCTTCTCCAGAACAGATCATTGTTCATGCTTTATCCGTATGTTACATAATTTTACTTGATTTTTTTTTTTACTTATTATAAACCAGGACTAGTTAATAAAAAATGTAAGCACCAAAACTGCTAACTAATGTCTTGCATTATTGTCCCAGGCTCAGTATTTTGCACCCTCATTCTTCCTTCACTGGGATACTGCCCTTTATTCCTCCTTTTATGAGACAGATGTACATTATAGTAGGGAATTTAGGAGAGCCCTACTTCGTAAAGAATTGAGGTTCTAGAAAAATAGTGTTCAAACATTTCAGTTACAGAGGTGAGAAATAATGGGAGGGACCATGGGGTACTACCTATAARTGTTATTTGTTCAATAATTTAAATCTAGTGTTACTTTCTCATTTTGCCATTGATAGTTGTCTTTAATGTTTTATAGCCAGAACATCTGTTGAACACAAGTGACAGTGTCACAGTGCAATGTCACACACCAAGAGTCATCATTCAGACTGTTGCTACAGAGGATATCACTTCTTCCATATCCCAAGCGGAACTGACAGTAGATAGTGATATTCAGTCATCTGATTTCCCTGAGCCTCCAGATGCACTAGAAGCAGACACTTTCCCAGATGAAATTCATCAGCCTAAGATGACTATAGAGCCATCATTTAATGATGCTCATGTATCCAAATTCAGTGACCAAAATAGCACAGAACTGATGAACAGTGTTATGGTCAGAACAGAAGAAGAAATCTCTGACACCGACCTTAAACAAGAAGAATCCCCCTCTGATTTAGCCAGTGCTTATGTTACTGAGGTAAGCAACACTTAATAGAAAAACAGCTTAATGGGTTCTTGCCTTCAACCTCAAATCGGCCATTTGGAAATATCACTAAAGTGATATTTTAAGATCTTCCTTCCTTTTTTTTAGATCCACAAAACAAAGTACAAAGCCCTACCTCTGACCACAAAAGTATGAGTGAACAAACACTGATGTTTCTCACAGAAGTGGGCAGTCAGAGATTTCTTGTGGCACTTGAAGGAATAAGAAAGCTGTGCTCTGTCTTAACAGTTCTTCACTACAATTTTTCCCCTCTCCACCTCAGTAAATTGAGAAATGTTTGTTAGAACAACTTCTGAGTGTGGTTAATAGTAGACTTTTATGATTAGGCTTAGGAACCTTATCCCATGGTGTTAAAAGTCTACTTTCCTCTGTATTCAGGTGACCTGTAACTGAATTAATTCTTTTTAGCTCCTTTTTTGTTAACATTTAGTTTATTAAATTATGAGATTATGTAGGTTAACGGGGCCATCTTTTTAAGCTCTTCATCTTTATGTTTGAGAATTAAGTACTGTCAAACCTAGACATACTTGGGATCTGGAAAACCGACAAGGAATATGAGTCAAATCTTTTTCTTTCTTTTTTAAAAAATATTATTTAGGACTTAGAGTCACCCACCATCGTAGAACAAGTTGATCAAACAACTATTGATGACGAAACAATACTTATCGTTCCTTCACCACACAGCTTTATCCAGGCATCTGATGTTATTGATACTGAATCTGTCTTGCCTTTGACAACACTAACAGGTAACTGTAATATACCTCTTAATATCCTGTGCTTGATAAATCTTAAGGGGAAAATTTGGGCCTTAAGTCTTTTCTTAATCCAACACGAAAATTCTAATCCCCTACACCATGGTAGAATACTTACAAAAATTCCTGACATAGGTTAAAAATTGCATATATGGAAAAGACTAACTTGAAACTTAACTCATTACAGATCCCATACTCCAACATCATCAGGAAGAATCAAACATCATTGGATCATCTTTGGGCAGTCCTGTTTCTGAAGATTCAAAGGATGTTGAGGATTTGGTAAATTGTCATTAGTTCATTCTTAGAAACAGGTAGTTAAAGCAAARAAGCCACACTGTTAATTACAATATCTCCAAAGAAATAGGAGCAACCTCCCTTTTACCATTCCTCTGGCTTTTAAATAGCTACAATGCTTAAGCCATGCACATTGTTGCTGCTATGATTTTTTACCTCCTTTTAAGTATATCTGAGGTCCAGTTTAATGACAGTGTGTAGGTGAGTAGAATCTGGAAGATTTAACTGCACAGATCCTTGTGTTTACTGTTAATTGTCAGGACAGAATTTCATTTACTCAGCTACTGAGAAGTTTTTTTAAATCACCAAAGCAGTAATATTCATCTCTGCAGATAAACAATGGCACTCTTAATTAACATTCTCAAGTAGGCCTGGTTGTATTTCAGAGAAGTCATATCAACATGGTCTAGAGCTATCAGTGACCTTCTTCAAAAAGATTAAATAGTATTGAGCCTTGACCAGCATAAAATACAGAGACCTAATTGTGTTGCAGTTACTTTTGGTTAACCCATTGCTGGCAGTGGGAGCTGGTTCAGGCAGGGTAAAGAGGACAGCATTAGAGTCAAGAAAATTCACTACAGGTTTTTTATTACTTTTAAAGGGAATATGGGTAAGAGTAGTAAACAACCCACTGGTAACTAAGCAGTTTCACCCCCTCATCAGAAACCACTGTTATTAGTTTACAGAGTTAGCACTTTGAAGTAAAATTAAACCAAATATGGAAAGAGATAATATTCCCCAATACCATGACTGTTTATTACATGTTTTATGACATAGACTATCCAGAAAATATTTGAGGGGGTATCAGAGTTTGCCATTCACTTAGTGCACTAGCTGGTGGAGGTACAATATAACTGCTCCCTCTCCAGCAATTTTTAAAAACAAAATAAAATTTGCTTCTGTAACAAAAGGAAATAAATCAAGAGTCATTCCTACTAGAGAAGGGTTAAGCCAAAACTAGCCTCTAGGGCTTTAATGAATATGACCCCTATAGAAAAGTCACAAAAAAAACTTGTATAAATTATTTTATTTATTATTGTAATTAGATCTTCACAATCAAAGTTGTCTTTTCACTGTCTGTGTTTTGTTAACGTGAAATTGTAGTTATAAGCAAAAGTTGGTTGCCTAGGGAACAATAATTGTATATTCAGTTTAACAGAAATAAAAGAATATTTGTCTTAAAATGCAAGATTTTGAGCGTTTGCCATGCAATTGTAAAAAATAATAATAATTTCAAAGTGAAAAGTACTTGTGCTGTATGAACTTTTAAGTTTTGGAATGTTTTAAGTGCAACATCAGCTCCTTAAAGAAAAAGCAATGAGATCTATGATATGTCTCCCTTTCAAGAGGGAATTTAAATTTACAATTAACATGAAAATCATGTATCAGACTTCTGTAGAAGATTCTTCAGCATATATCCAACATTTATTCACTGTCCTGGTAAGTATTTCTCCTTGGCAGCCTCACCTTCCCACATCATGGAAGTACAGGTTCGCACATATACATAACATGATGATAGAAAATATGATATAGTAAATTAGATTTCTAAATTTCGGTTCTAAGTCTCCTTGTCGATACCAGTAGATCTAAAAGAAGAATTAAATAAAAATTAAAGTAATAGCCACTGGGCCAACTGTTAAAATTTAAATTACAAAATTGTTTTTCCACCAATTTAACCAGTGAGACAGTCTTCTATTTAGATAAAACTACTCAATTGTATTTAGATATGTATGTATTTAGATAAAACTACTCAATGTTAGTCACTCAAGGCTTCAAGCCAGGGGAGACACTTAGCAACTGAGTCACATCCCYAGTCCTTTATTTATTTGGAGATGGTCTCACTAATTTGCTGAGAATCTTGCTGGCTTTAACTTGTGATCCTCCTGTCCCGGACAGGCATGCCTAACTGTTTTTAAAGGTTTACTGTTTTGTTTCAGTTTTTCAAGGGTCATGAAACCACTACCAACTACTGAACAAATACTGAAGAGCCATTGTGGAGGGAAGCACAGAGATTAAAATAAATTATGTTATTAGAAATAAATCCAGAATGCTATCCCTTCCATTAAAAGTATTTCTCAAAGCCTGTTGGGCCCTGAATGTAGCCCTTGAGTGAAGATAAGTAAAGTATATCAAAAGTTTTTTAGCTACTAATTTCACTAATTTCTTCCTTCACTTTTTAGCTATCTTAAGAACACAAAATTTCCCTTTAGCGTTCCAATTGTGGGACTTCTGAGTAAAAACTAATGTGCAATTAATAATTGGGACTTCTGGCATCTTAATGCAGAAACTAATGAGGACGAGTGGGGAGGTGGTATTAGACAGAACCTTTATATAGACACAGGGCTGGGAATCTATTCTAAGCACTGCAACATTAGGCCCTCAAGAATACTTCATTTAAATTCTAAATAGTACTCACAAGTATGCAGGCAGTAATACTACTCAAAGAGATGCAGACAGCAAAAAATATATTCAATGGTTTGGGAGGTAGTTGAGGGAAAACAAAAGCACTGATCAGCGTTACCTGTGTGGAGAGAAATTATATAAAGCCTTAGAATTAATTCTAAGATTTGGTAAGGGGTGTAAGTCAGAAGTAGAACACCTGTTCAGCATAATTGAGGCCCTAGATTCAAATATAAGCATCACAAAAAAGGAAAAAAAAAAAAAGATGACTTATTAAGATCAAATCTAGACAAGGTAACAATACTAGAAGAAACTTCACATTATAAAATTATTTCTACCCACCATGTTTGATTTCTGGAATGTCAATACAATATTTTATAAAGTATTTGTATATATGTTCAAATTCTTATAATAATTCCTCCTTTTCTATCCTTTTCCTTGCTTATGAAAGGAGATGAAAGATCAGTAAAACTAGCTAATCTCTATTAGAAATCATTTAAATCCTATTCCCAGAACTAATGACTGTACTGGTAAAAATGCTGACCTTCTTATTCTGAACACTCCTACCAAAAATGAAGAATATAATCAAAGCTGGTTTTACTTTCACTATGAAAAATACTAAAAGGTGGGTTCCTAAAACCCATTTCTGTCTCTATCATAGATACATACAACATTATACCCATTCTTTTTATTAAGAAGTCATGAAAAAAACACTTAAGGTTAATATATTTAACTATAAAAATATACCTTTATTTTATTTTATTATATAGTACCCTAGTTTTATTATACAAAGTGGAAAATCACTATATTATATACTAACCAAATGTTTTTAAACTTACCCAGTGATAATTAAGATATTAACAGAAATAGGGAGTTACCATGGCTTACATCTGAAGGAAGTTGATGGTAGCCACTGACATTTTTACAAACTTACTAGGCAAGGAACCACTGGCAAATTCATTTGATTTGTACTATTTCTTGTATTCAACTGGGGAATTGAGGATGAAAATCAGGTTAGTTGCATCAGTTGCCAATTTGAAGTTTTGTAGTAATGTTGAAAGCATGAACACTTAACATACTCATGTATTAGCTCTGAAAGTTGTTTTGTTGTTGTTGTCTTTTTAAGTTTTCAGATCTTTGGCTGAGAGCCTGAGTGAGGCACAAAATAAAGATACTTACTAGAATCAATAAGGATGTTAAGCTGCCAACAACTAAATTGATGATTCGGTCCTGAAAGAGAAAAGAGATAATGAGCCATATGACTTGGATTCCCAGCACTCTCACAATGATACATATCAGGCCTTCGGGGTGGTTTAAAATGAAAATACTTCTATATATATTTATGCTTGCCAGACAAGGCAAGGTGTTCTGAGCCATAGGAATGGAAAAGGTACTTTGGAAAAATCAGGCCAACAAAGGAGGTTTCTTGAAAGGTTGAGAAATTTACACTAGAATCTTGAAGACTGCAAAGAACTGAATGGGAAAGGAGGTTTACAAATAATCTTGTGCTGTTGGAAATAGTATAGGGAGGACAGAGTGCTGGAATTGTCAGGCCAGAGCCAGAAAATTACCAGAAACTAGATTTTGTAGATGAGATATCTGAGTATGGGTGTTTTTTTTGTTTTGTTTTGTACTGGGGATTGAACCTAGGACCACTTGAGACAGGTCTGGTTAAATGCCGAGGCTGCCTTGAACTTGTGATCCTCCTGCCACTGTGCCTGGCTTCCACTGAGTTTTCTTGTCTCTTTCAACCCCACCCCACCCAACTCTACAGAATGTCTGCAAAACTTGTGATCTAATTCTAATCCTAATCCAATCCTAATGAATTTACAGGTTAACCAACCCAGTTTGTCCCACTGTCAGATGTGGAATACCTATAAAAAACATAATATTGTATAATATCATTCTAGATTAAGATTTGCAGTCTATTTTAATGCACCTGTGTCAATTTCATTGACATAGTCACAGAATTGAAAACTTTGTCTGAGCAGGGAACATAATATGCAATGTGAGCAGCCAATAAACACCTCAGATGGGAAGGATCACACAGCAGCAAACTGAACCCTCATTTCCAAGTTGTCTGCTTTTAAAGATAAGAATCCAAAGAARTTAGAGAGTCCAGCAGGCAACGCTGAAAGGGGAAGTATATGTAAGAAACATGTATTGGTTGTGCCTGATCTAGCCAAGGACCAACCACAACATGGCCACTGCAATTTGAAGGTTACCAGACAAAACTAATTCCATCCATAGCCTCATTATTCAGACAAATCCCACCTGGAGTCTGAAATTATGACCCTCTGYTAAGGATAGATCTAGGGCAATTTGCTTATTACTACATAAGGTATGTGTATATGAATGTGTTTAATAAAAAATGTGTATTAAGATTAAATAAATGAACCCCACTGCTTCTGCCTTGTTAAAAAGGTTCAACTACATTTTCCTCATGTTTATTCCAAGAATCTGCTCTCATCTCTACAAAAGCTAAGGAGTTGCAAAAGTTTACAAAGTCTGCTCTTTCACCAGTAGAAGCCAGGGAACAGGTTCAGGTAGGAGGTAGCTAAGAAGAGGAATCACTGATTTTCAAATGTTACAGCAACTTGTCTATCAGGATCAAAACAAGGGGAAAAATAATAGTGAAGGGACTGTAACTATCTTAACTTTCACCTATCTTCTCAAAAATTTTGGAATGAAATGGTAATGTCTATTTTATAGGTAACAAAACAGGTTCATCAAAATTTATATCTTGCCCAGTGTCTCATATCATAAATAGTAATGGAAATAAAATTCAATGTCAGGCCTGCTTTCCCCCAACAGAGAAGATCCCATTTATACTCTGCTGGATGAGCAACTACTGGTCTAGACAAAAGAAGTCAAATGGCAGATGACATCTCAAAGCCTATTAGTATCCTGGTAGCCTATTAAGAATGAAGATTTCTGCATATGTGGGGTTTTTTTCCAGATTATTGATTAACCATATAAGCGTAACGTTTTAAACATTCTTATGAAAATGTATTTAAGTTAATATTTTCCTGCCTGCCTTTTAGACAGCCACTGAAGAAAACTGCAAGTAATTTTCATGAATATCAGTTATTATACTGATGTAATGGTGGTGGTTCCTTGGGGCTCCCAAGATGAAGGGAACTACTTAGACATGRTAGAAGTGTTTCTCACAAAATGTTCTTATTGCAAGCAAAAGCCTATTAACATATCCATGAACCCAGGTCAAACTTTGGGAGATATCCCATTTCTAATGCTATCTTCTAAACTCTCCCTACTGCAAGTGTGGTATATGGACCAGCAGCACTGACCTCACTCTATTAATTCTGTTTCTACTACCTGTTACATGGTTTTTAATTTTATTTTTACCCTAGCTCCATCTACCAAAACTGTTCTCCCCTCCCAGAGTTTTAAATCTTGTACTATTACTTAATGCCCTATGTAGGCCAGACAGGAGCAAGATCAGCCTGGATTCTTACCTGCTGAGAGGAAAAGGATAAGGATTTAGAATATCCCTCTCAAAAAACAAAATATTCAACAGAGTTTTCATTAATACTTCATGTACACTGTAATACATGAACATAAAATACATACTCATGTACATATATGTATTATTTTGAGAAGGGTTCTATATATTATATATGTTATTCATTTAAACATTAGTGTACGCTAGATAAAACCATCTCCACTCTCCAGAAATTTATACTATCCAGAGTTCAGGAGGCCACTAAGGAAAAAGGGAGAAAGGAATGTTGGTAAATCAGGGAGAGACTACCAGAGAAAAGTCAACCAAGGACTGGCAAATCAGAAGGAAAGGTGGTTCACTAARAGGAATTCCACAAAGACCCAGGGAAGAACAAAAGCACTGTTATTAGGGGGAAAAAAAAAAAAAAAGGAACAAATGGAAATAGATGGGCAAACTTCATGAGCTGAATAAGAAATGGGAGAGGGCTGGGGATGTGGCTCAAGTGGTAGTGTGCTCGCCTGGCATGTGTGCGGCCCGGGTTCAATCCTCAGAACAACATGAAAACAAAGATGTTGTGTCCGCCGAAAACTAAAAAAAAAAAAATATTAAAATTCTCTCTCCAAAAAAAAAAGAAGTGGGAGACAATGTACCCTGAAGAGATCTTCCTGAACCCAAAGGAATCACATCATTGTTTTCCTCCAAAGAAAGGAGAAAAAGATGATAGGCATATGCAAACAGTTTGTATTTGAGATGGTAGAAAATTACCCTGCAGCAGCTTGGGAGGCTGACACAGAAGAATTGTGAGTTCAAGGCCCACTTCAGCAATGGCGAGGCGCAGTGAGACCTATCTCTCAATAAAATACAAAATAGGGCTAGGGATGTGGCCAAGTGCCCCTAAATTCAATCCCCCCACCCCATCCCCCGCAATGAAAAGAAAGAAAATTACCCTGTAAAGCAAGTAAGCAACACATTATCTCCATTTATCATTGTGTGACTGCAAAATGTAAGCCTAGTGAGCAGATCACAAGAATTCTTAGACAGTGGATATGGGCCCTGAAATTAAGAATATTCTCATCCCATTATGCCACTGGCTAGCTGTATGACCTCAAGTGGATCCCCTAACCATCTATCAGAAAATTAGGCTAAAGYATGTCTTGTCCTTTTCAGTTCTAATAATTTACAGTTCCAAAGAGTAGGCCTAGCCTACTTCCTTGGTTATCAAAAAATAGGGAAGCCCCCAATCTTGCCTGGTCAGTCACTGGCCAGCAATTTGATATAAGACAGAATCCCAAACTCATTCCAGAAGCTCAGGTAGTAATGATCACTCAGAGGAAATTGATGTCAATAACCAAAAGCCAGCATCTGTCTTTAATTTTAAGGATACAACTCTAGTATTCTAGAGTTTAGAATGCTATAAATACCTTGTTCAACCTTCCATTTCCATGGCAATTCATGTTTTGCCTAGTCCCCAAACGGATTTGAAGGSCATGTGCTAAATATAAGAAAACCCTAACCCATTTAAGCAACAATAAAAAGATGAGGCCAAAATTTCTAAAGAGGTTTGGAGAATGTAAAAAAGGAATAAAAATTATCTGTGGTCAACAGTGGTCAAAAAATATTAAATGGGAGATTTAAAATAATTTGTTAAGTTTTAAATTGTACGCCATTCTGAGTAGCATGATGAAATCTCAACACTGTCCAGCCCTGTCCTGGGAAGATCTGTATCATCCCTTTGTCCACCATATCCATAGTTAGTCACCTTAGTCACTTAGTCGCCATCTCAGTTATCAGATTGTTGCAGCATTGCAGTATTTGTATTAAAGCAACCCTTATTTTACCTAATAATGATCCCAAAGTACAAGAGTAGTGATGCTAGCAATTCAGATGTGCCAAAGAGAAGCCATAAAGTGTTTCCTTTAAATGAAAATGTGAAAGTTCCTTACTTGATGGAAAAACTGTATGCTGAGGTTGCTCAGATCTATAGTAAGAAAGAATCTGTTACCTGAAATTATGAAGAAGGAAATTAAGGCTAGTTTTGCTGTTGTATCTCAGACAGTAAAAGTCACAGTGCAAGATAAATGTTTAAAATGGAAAAGATGCTAAATTAATAGGTTCACAATTTCCAGCATCTCCTATGGAAAAAGGAGGATACTGTACTAAGATTCCTGGCAGCAAGGTGGGAAATTCAATGGGGTTTTAAATTCTAGCTAATAAAAGTAACCATGCTGGATCACTAGAGGAGGCAAACTTCTGGCTCTGAAAAGAATTTGTTGTATAAGTCTGTATAAAAAATATAAAAATACGGGAAACAGGTATTTTGTATAGTTGTTTCTTATACTGGTCCACAAGAAAGGCTGTGTCAGCTCTGTCACAAGAGAATGTGTCCTCTATGCTAAAGATGGGCATGCAACGGCACAGCAGAAGCTGTGGCCAGGTCTTGCAACCCAAGGTCATGCTTTTGCCAGCCACAGAGGCCCAACACCCTCACAGGTGCTTCTAGGAATAGGCTCTTTTGATTCCAAGGAAATATCAATAGAAAACCATAAGAATCTCTGGGGTCCAGGTTCTGTTAGCCTAAGTACAAGGCCAGTCAGTTACTTTCTGATAGAATAGGACCAAGACATCACAGCTCTGAACTCCAGCAAAACATACATCCAGCTGGAGGCCTCATCCTTCGACAATRCTCAACCCTTGTAGGAAGGAACAAAGCAAAACTGAAGGCTGCTGCAGAAAAGAAAAATCCTAGATGGACAATGCTACTAACACA